TTCAAGGGAGAACACTTGAACAGACCTTACTTTCGCAATCAACATTTACTTCTCACTTAAACCAAACAAAAAAGAAGCACTATCCACAGATAGTGAATGCTATATAGAATGAACATCAACATGCTGCCTAGAAAAAGAAATGTCGTTTATGCTCCAAGTGATTATTAACAGGAATAAGACGACAAGATGTTAGGTATACCCCTCTTCAAGGCTTTCAAATTCCAGAGTGGCTTTGTCAGTCTCGATCTCACCTATGACATCACCCACTTCAATCTGTTGACCAGGAAATGAAAAGAATCAACACGGGAAAGTGCATAAACACCAGATATCTTGTGGTGAAATTACAATGCCAATTTACACTCAGTCTTGGGTCACCACAAACTAACCTTGTCACCCTCTTTTTTCCACCATTTGGCAATGTTACCTTGGTTCTGCACATCAATAAACAAATAATGAATCAGCGTTTCAGGATAGAAAGGTGGATGCCTTCTCCTCCAAAACAAGCTAGCATAAAATATGGAATTTCATACCATTGTAGGAGAAAGTGCTGGCATTTCTAAGACGACATGTGGGGGAAGATCTGATGTATCGGGCTGAATGGAACCTTTTTGTTGTGTGCTTTCGTCAGGTTTCATCTCTTGCTGAGCTGATGTTTCCTCTTTGCCAACTCGTCCACCCTCTATGGTAGCAGGAACATTTTGAATGTCGTCTTCCTCCTCAACCTTGGTTACAATTAAATATATAAGATTACACTCTTATCCATCAAACTTATGTAGCAAGATGTTGACCAAACCCTAACCCTTATACGCTACATCCTAAACCCTACGATATAATGATGTAGGGGACATGACATGACAACCAGGTTGACAAAAGGAAATATTTTGAAGAAGAAAGCATGAGATTGGATCTTGGTCATTTTTTCCACAATAAATCTTGACAACGAAATACCATACATCTCTATGATTCGTCAAGTCTTTCAGGATGTAAACCCAGGAAACCAAAGAAAATGAAGAGGCCAAGAGCAGACTAGATAAACAAACAGGAACTCCTAATGAGCATATGTTGATGCATGCATTACCTTTTGTGAGATCATACTTGGTTTTTTTAAATGTATAAGACAGCCATTGTGCTTACCATTATTGCAATCGGTTCATTAACAGGGATATCCTTTGATCCTTCAGTGACTAAAATCTTGGCCAGAAATCTACAGAACCATGCTTCATTGTAAGCCAATTGACATTTGCATATACTGTACTTATTGTGAGTCAGCTTTTTGAATTACCAAGGTATACTGAAATAAAAAACATAAATCAAAACACATAAAATCATGAACCGGCTTTTTCAGAATTACCCTTCCTCTTGACTCTCAAATTCTACAGTGGCTTTGTCTGTCTCTATTTCACATAGTACATCACCCACCTCTACCTGTCAGGAAGAACCAAAATTCATACCTGTTAATGAGAACTTCCACATCCTATATTTTCTTTGCCAGCTAATTTATCAATTTATCGTCTTTCTCCTATAATGATCATTCTTAGACAACACCATAGAAGTCGAGTAAAATTTTGACAACCAAAAATAACAATAACCCACCTTGTCACCTTCTTTCTTCATCCATTTCACAACATTTCCATGACTCTGCAAAAGCCCAGCAAACATAAAACAATGATTGAAGTCCAAATTTCTTTACAAGATTGAAGTCCAATTTCCTACCATAGTAGGAGACAATGCTGGCATTGCAAGAACCGTCTGTGATATGGGTCCTACAACCCAAAGAAAAATTAGATTAACGGACAAATCTTGTATAATTGATTGCATCTCCTGTCGCTATAGCTAAGAGTATGATGGAAGCACAAACATCAGAGAAAAGAGTGATATGGAATTTTTTGCATCATTTAACATGTCTTTTTTTTTTATAAGATAAGAAAGTTTCCATTAATTATTCTTATCACCCACTTAATATCTGTGTTGGTAATTCTTATGGCTAGAACAATTTAACAATTGTCGACAGGTTGCTCGAATCAGATGAAAGTCCCATAATCAACTGGTTTAGTAATTCTATAATGGAATTGCTTTGTAGACTCATTTATGAAGATCTTTCTTCCATAAGATGACATAACAATCGATGAATACCTGTAGATGAAAAGTTTTGCACGCCAAATCGCAACTACAAGAAAACAATGTATGTGAGAAACAGGGATAGATAAAAGTGAAAAAAGAAAAGAAAAGAAACAGTACTAACTCTTCAACTTACAAAAGGCTTTGGAGGACTATCATCCATTCTTGTAATCATGTCTATAGAGGCAGGCCTGAAAATGTAGAACAGACAAGATCTGAATATGAACTAACAGTCTAACCCATAAGTCATCTTGTATCGACAAACTAAAACACTTCATCCACTAAAAAAGAGATCTTAAAAGAAAAAATAGACAGGATAGAGCTGAACCTAGAGAAAAGGAACTGGAATAGACTGTTCATGGTGTTCTTAACTTAGTAATTAGTATTGATTTAACAGAAATTTGGGTAAACCTTTTTTGAAACCATCATCAATTACAGAAATTTGTGGTATGGAACACAAACCTCACACCATTACTGCTACGAATCTTGTCGTCCAAGTGGTATAGTCCATCAGAAAAGCTGAATAAGAAAGTTCATGGTCAAAGCACAAATGTACTGGAAAGCTAGAGAAATCACACCAGTTTTAGCTTCTATGAACAGAAATATAAGAAATGCATTCCTATTTTCTGGGAGCTATTAGAATAAATCGAGACTGGAAGGACACTCACTTGTTGTTCACAGCGAGTAACATAAAAATGGAAATTTCATCTCACAAACTAGACCCGTAATACCATTTCAGAGAGAAAAATAGATAGTTAAATTGGTTACAACAAAACCAGATTGGCATTCTTTCTACCCACAGAACAACATCACTATACAATACGCAATAACAACTCCAAAAAGTCAAAGGAAGATTGCCTAAAGAGAAGAAGAAGAAAACGAAATCGAACTAAGAAACAGTTCAGTCATCCAATTGCCAAAGATCACACATGGAAGAAGGGCAACATCAAATACTTTGAAAGAGGCGGGACTAGATAGAGAGAATAAGCGTACCGAGAATGGAATCCGGAGGCAGGAGCGAAAAGACGAGCTCTGAGAAGCGAGGAAGTCCGGGCGATCGCAGCGCGCCGGAAGAGCGGAAGCACCATGAGAGCACTTCGAGAAAAGAGGAGGGTTTGAGAAAATCACAAATGGGAGAGAGAGACGATGATGATATCGAATCGTAACACTTTGATTTTGGTCAGATCACACACAGCGACGCCACGAACGATTCTCATTAGGAAAGTGTGTTCATAAATTCAGATACGGCCCGGTCCGGCCCGGATTTAAAAAACCAGTAATCATTACTGAACCGGAAATTCACATTAAACCATATTTAATTGATTGGTTTGAGTGAAGAACCGAACATTCAAAGGGCGATTGAGGGTTTGATTGGTTTTCTCCGACCACCTTTTACGTTTGCGAAAGGTCGCCCGTTCCCGTTACATAAAATACAGATTCTATAAATAAAGTTCATAGTGTTAACTTTATAACCATTTTTCAGATATTTGATTATTCTTCATTAAAATGTAAAAGAGATACATCGTAGAGTTTATATACAAAGTAAAGCAAAGGATAATTAGCCTAACTAAACCGGAACATAACCGGATATATATAATCTCTAATACCATTTTAATAAGAAAGGAAATTTTATCAAAGCTTTGCGGCAATGGGTTGCAGAAATAAATGTTTTACAAATTAATTATTAAGAAATGCACAAGGTTTTATCAAGGAAGCGATTTTGTTGCCCAAGAGATTTGTAATTTGTTCACCAGAGATCATCATATTGTTGTAGTTGGACTTATGTGAATCAAATAGAATCGATTGATTTGGCCAACAATGGAGGAATGAGACATGATTCTCTAATAGTCCGAAGTTGAGGGGATGCAGGCACATGGAGAAAGTCTTCGACATGATGGCGAGTCGAATCTTGAAACAACTGCAAGGCTAAGGTGACTTTCGAGAAGACAGAGAAGTTGTTCTTTTGAATGCTCTCTTACGCTAATCATAATATTTAAAAAACAAAAAAGAAAAAAAAAAGACCTAGTCAAAAAACCAAAAATATTGGGAGGAGGAAAAAAAGAGGCAGCTAGAATTGTGTTCTTATGTCAGGATAGAGATATCTACTTGATGGTGATCTATAAAAAGGGATTTAACATGTAGAAACGTCCTTCCACGGAAGGTTAAGAGTATTTCTTCGAATGTGATTGTGCTATATATATGTTGAATTCAAGCCTAATTAGCCATATCTAGTTAAGGGAAACGACAGTGAGACGACCAAATCTCATATATATAAAATATGAGTCTTTAATTCTTTATGAATGATGTATGTGTTGAAATATTGAACGTTCGATCTTTGTTAGACTATAACTTTCGATCTTTCGAGATGTAGTGAGACTGGAACTAGATAGTGACAAAGGGTTGAGTGAGTTGGTCGAATTGTTTCAGATGACAAGTAATTGAATGCATTATTGTGTGTTTCGAGGGATGGAATTAATTAACCCTAGCGCAACTAGATAACTTTTTGTGACGCGTCATTTATATCGGAAGAAAGCATGCATGGCGCGTTGTCGAACAACAAACGTGTTTCTCCATGACTCCATTCATGCAAATAGTCAGTCTCATGTGGATTGTCATGCATATTTGTAAAACAACTGGTGACAAAGACGAGGAGATAAGAAGCTGAGGCTCTAGACAAGAAAGTGCTACATGTCTCCAAAATCTTCGAAGAAGTAGCCCATGGAGATGCTTCGATCGGTGAGGGGGAAAAGAGTCCACCGTTTCCAGCATCATAGGAATTTGATTATTTGTCTGACTTTGCTTGATGCAGGATTTGTTTGACGCAGTATCAAAACTTAGTTTTGAGATATTATATCTTAGAGCACCATTATCGGTAAGCTCTTAGACATATCTTAGAAAAATTTTAGGTAATTATATGAATAAAATTAAATGCCAAATATTGAATAATGTTAAGGAACGTCTCTTACTTAAGAGACAACAAAATACCTTAAGAGACGAACGTCTTTATTTTTTCTCGTCTCTTTCTGGTCTCCTTCTCTCTCGTCTCCGATGGTGAAATCGAAGAGTTTGGTCTGGATCGTCTTAAAATTGGTTCGAATTGGTTGCCCGTGTTCTGTTGTCTCTCTCTCTCTTTATCGTCTCTCCGATGGCGATCAATTTCACGATTGTTCTCTTTCAATCGTATAAAGCCAAGTGCTTTTTCTCAAAATTTACCTGCGAATTTAAGGTAGGAAGAGAAGCTAAAGCTCTAATAGAAGTGAGTCCGTTGATGAAGATGTATGTGTTAAATAACTCAAAACCCCCTCTTTTGAATTCTGAATTGTGTGAAGATCATGAATCGATTCGCTCAAGCTCGAGTGTTTAGATGTTTGCGTTGTGATGATGTTACGTTTGATTTCATTGTGTTGATTACGATTTTGTTCAGCTCCTTCACAAGTTTGGTGCCATAATTGAGTAAATAGGGTTTGTTAGAACCAAAGTTTATAGCTTTTTTGTCAAATTGAATCTCTGTCTGAATGTGAGCTGTGTGTTAAAGCTTGAATCTTTTTGTCAATTGTCTTTATGGGTCTCAAAAACCTCACATGGTTTTGTGTTGAATCTCTCGGTTCTCTTTCTAAATGTGAGGATCTATGCTTTATTTTCTCACCTTTGTATCTTCTGGATGATATATTTCCTATGTTTTGTTGCAGTGTCATGTATTTGAAGAAAGTTCACTGAAATTGAAGAAACATTCTTATTATTGTCTCTTTATCGTATTTGCATAAACATTCAAGCAAAGATGGGAAGGAGATGATGCAACCTCCACAATCTGCAGACCCCATGGCTTGTTCAAGTAAGATTTGCTTTTTAGTTTTCTTATGATGTACAAGGAGAACTTCCACAAGCCTTTTGTCGTCGGGCTGCTGTCAAAGGATGTATCTATGTACGTTTGGAACAATTTACTGCATTGTGTACTATGTTGCTGCTGTGGTATTTGTTACTTGGTTTTGTTGACGAAAGGATTCTTACTTGATTATTTTAAAATCTTTTAGATTAGTCACGTTAACTTTATTATCACAAGGTTACTTCTTATGGCATGTAGACTGATTTCGGACCTGCTGTCTCCTTTATTCTTTGAGCAACATTTGGTTTATGTAAACTTAAAGTGTTGTGTCTTTGAAAGTTTATGCATTGATGTCTTTGTGCATGTCTTTATGTTTTTGTTTATTGATGTCTTTATGTTCAAGTGTTTTTGTGTATTGATGTCTTTATGTTCATGTTTATGTTTTTGTTTAACTCTTTCTTTATGTCTTTATGTATGTGAATCTCCTCCTCTAAACATGTTTATGACTTTTGTTTCCCAAGGTACAAAGCAAATGCTGTTTCTTCTTGCTTTTTCCTTTGTTTGGAAACGAAGTAACGTATCCGATTCACATGATATGTAGGGAGGATGGGAGAATGATGACTCAGTCACATATTCACTCTTGTTCTCACAAACTAATGCAACAATCGTTTACAATTCAACTCTTCTTCTTTATACTCCAAGTGATTTACCAAAGACTTTTGTTCTTTATACCACAAAACAATCTTTTCTACTTTTCTAAACTCTTGTTCTTTTTACCACAAAACAATCTTTTCTAAACTTTTGTTCTTTATCAAAATCTCGTCGATATGATGGTCCACTAGAAATCGATTTTGTGATCGAGCTATGCATCAACAATTGAATAAGGATTTGGTCGAGCATATATGGACAAAATATTCTAGAAATTAAGTTTAAAACATTTGTGCTTTATGTTATAAATTGTATCTCATGTATGTTTTAATTTTTTTAATTTGCAACAATTATTAAATTTTCTATAATTATAAATTTTATTTTTATATTAATATTTATTTTTCTAAGAACCACATGTTAAGAGTCTAACATTAATCACACAAAAATTTTAACTCAAAAATACTATCTCTTAACAATCACTTTTACAAATAAATTACTTAAATATTGCTAAGATTAATTTCTAAGAGACCACTTATAATCATGCTCTTAGCTTCTTTATTTTTGGTAGAGAGATATTATACTTTTTAATTTGTAGTATATAGTGTCAAAAAGTATTATATTGCACTATTAAAATTATATTTTATGCATAAGTTACATAAATATTATTATTATCATATCTTTTCATATTTACAATATTAAAATTCTTTGTAAAATAGCTGTATCTAACAATCAGATTACGTTCAATCTTTACCTTTTTTCTATATTACATTCTTCTTTTTTTCTTTTTCGAAACAATAAGATTGACATTTGACACCAATGGGAAAGTCTACTGTAGATTACGGAAGCACGATGTGACCGAACTTTTGTAGTATAAAATTCGGCATCGGAACAAGGATCTAAAGGAATATCCTTTCCCACCACCGCATATGCACGATTACTACAACGCAAATGTCTGAGATTTTGCAATTCCATTATTATACTCAACAAAATCTCTCTGTCCAATTTCCAAAGTCAACTCCTTTTTATTTTTTGTTTTACTTCCTGTTTTCCTCTTGAACAACAACAACCCAAATATAAAAAAAAAACAAACAATATTTGTGTATATATAAAGAGAGATCCAAATTGGAGAGTCAGATAGAGAGAGAGAGAGACCAAAGAGGAAATTAATTATCAATCAATCCAACGAATGGAGATTGAAGAAGCGAGTCGTGAAAGTGGACATGTTGTGTGCGGATCATGGATTCGTCGCCCGAAGAAAGTAAACTGGGTTCTTATCGCTAAAGCTTCTAAACGCCGTGGCTCATCTGTTTCTTCTCCTGCTCTTCTCAACATCTTCTCTTTTGACCCCGTTACTGCTTCTCTCTCCTCCTCTCCTTTGGTAAAATTCTTCTTACACCTTTGCAATTTTTGAATCGACAGGAGCTTCCAAATCTTGTTGGGTTTTGGGTGAAATCTAGTTTGTTTCGTTAGATTGGGAGATTTGGGTTCTTCTGAATCACGCAATAATTCTAGGGTTCTTCAAGTTGGTTTCTTCTGATTCTGAGATAGCAGGGCAAAGCTCCTTTCTTTTTGTAGTTACTTCTGTCGACTAATGAAATAAAAAAAAACAACCTTTTTCTTCTTATTCTTTGAGCAAAGGCAACACATACGCTAAAGGAGAGTGATGGTGATCCTGTGACTGTTTCAGTGCATCCTGCTGGAGATTACTTTGTTTGCTCAACCTCCAAAGGTGGTTGCAAGTACGTTATCTCTGTTTTTACCACCCACAAGTTTTTATCCAAAGACATTCTATAGTTCCTTCCTCTGATACTATGTTTCTAAATTTGTTGAGTTGGTATTGTTAAAGTTATGAAGAACATGAGAACTAGACATCAAATTGACTAGAACTTAACATTGCTTCTCTCATTACATCAAACGATCTCCCACCTCCTATGTTTGCTCATGTAGAATTAATTGTAGTGATGCTTGAATTTCTTGTGTGTTTAGGTTTGGTTTATTATATATCTGCATATACTTTTGTTGGAAATTGCCGTTGCCTTTTACAACTGGCCTCTTTCTAGTTTTGATCCATGTATCTTTTGACTTCCCTTTCTTGCATTCATCTTTTGCAACTCTGCTATTCCATCTATTTCACACATACTAGAGAACTGGAGTTGACTTCCACCATTTTGGACACTATCTGCCTTATTGTCTATACAAATTTTGTTTACGGTTCAGATGGTAAATATAGTTTATTTGGTTTTCAGGTCATTTGAGATTGTTGGAGGAGCAACGGGTATTACGATCTTAGCCAAAGAACTCCTTCCCCTCCAAAATGCTGGACTACAAAAGTGTATGGCCTTCAGCTTTGATGGGTCTAAATTAGCTGCTGGGGGATTGGTAAGGAACTGAAATATAAAAAGGGATTTTTTTCTTTCACTGTTGCGACAATTTTAGTTGTAGCTTACTACAAGCTATTTTTCAGGATGGATGTCTCAGAATTATGGAGTGGCCAAACCTAAGTGTAATTTTGGATGAGCCAAAGGCACACAAATCCATCCGGGACATGGATTTTAGGTAAACACCGGAACCTTCTCTACCACCATCCCTCCTTTTATATTATTTTCAATGTGAAACCGGGATTGAGGTAGTAAAAACTGGTCTTCTGTATAGAACTGGGACTTGGTCATACAACACAAATAGAAGTTAATGGAGATTGTGAAATGAATCCCGTTGTGTGCATCTTTCTCATATTTGCATCTTTTTTTGTAGTCTTGACTCAGAGTTCTTAGCTACAACATCAACTGATGGATCAGCTAGAATATGGAAAGCAGAAGATGGTTTTCCTTTGTCTACTTTGGAACGTAGTGGGGTATGTGATTGTGAGAGTTAAAGTTTGCATTTGCATTGCTATATTTCTAAACTAATAATATCCAATGTAAGCTGTATGAAAGATGAGTTTCATGTCTATGATCTTTTTCAAGCAATATAATTCTGAGATTTATCGGTCTCGATTTTGTCGCTCTGGTGTTTCTTATATTGGCTTCTGATATATACTACCTAATTCTGATATCGATGTCTGCAGGATGAAAATATTGAACTGTGCCGTTTCTCTAAAGATGGAACAAAACCTTTTTTGTTTTGTGCTGCTCAAAGAGGTATGTAATATATCCGACTTTCGGGTAACATCACTACTATTTTACATCGATAACATCATATGAAATGTTATACAATTGGAATCAGGTGATACGCCTTTGGTCAATGTTTATGACATTAGTACATGGAAGAAGCTTGGGTTCAAGAAGTTGTCAAGGAAGACTGCATCGACAATGGCAGTGAGCTTGGACGGAAAATATATTGCTTTGTGAGTCTTTCTTCATCTTTGGCTGCTTATTGCTATCAGGCTTGTGATTGTACAAAGCTTAAAACCTCATACTTTGCATCTTTTTTTGTAGGGGTGGGAAAGATGGAGATGTATCTGTTGCTGAAGTTAAGACAATGGAAATCTACCACTACAGTAAGAGGCTACATCTTGGTCAATCCATTGCTTCACTTGAGTTCTGCCCTAGTGAAAGGTACGGTGAAGCAATTGAAAAGATAATGATAAATCAGAAACCCTTATGTCTCCGCATTTTTTCTAATGTTGATCTTTATCTAATTGGTTCTTTGTAGGGTTATGCTGACAACTTCGAGTGAATGGGGTGAGATGGTGACCAAACTCAGTGTACCAAAGGAGTGGAGAGGTTTGTTGCTGATCTCTTTCTCTGCAAATATGATCGGCACATATACGTTTATATATTATCTATTTCTCACTCATATATATGTGTTTGATGTGCAGAGTGGCAGATATATGCATTGCTGTTTTGCTTGTTCATGGCATCAGTGATAGCTGCATACGTATTCTTTGAAAACTCAGATTCGTTTTGGCAGTTACCAATGGGGAAAGTTCAAAAAAGACCAAAGATAAGTCTTTTTGGAGGTTCCTCCACGCCTTCTGAGGATCATAGTAGGTGGAACTTGGACCTATAGAAAGTTTATGTAAATTCATGAGACTCTTTCCTCTGCTTTTTTTTTCTTCTTCTTCCAAATCTTGTTGCAATGTTTTTTTTTCCCTTTCTTCTGATTTTGCTCTGACGAATAACTCTTTTGATTCTGGAATTAAAAATTCATTTTACTGTTTTGAACAGTCTTTGATTTCATTAATTGATTTGTATTTACAAGTAAGTCAGTCAATTACTGTTTCGAATTACTTCTGATGAAAAAAATTAAAAGTATTGAAATTGCAGAGAAGATCTTTTGTAGCAATAAAAGAGACGTGGTGACGTCATATGACTAGTGGTCCCATTAGCTCTTAGAAAAAACGGAAGATATTAAAAAAGAACCTCTCACTTTTCATCTTCATAAAATAATCTCTAACAAAAATACTTTGACAAAATAACCCAATTCAAATTTAATGGTGCTGATGTGGCAGCAGATATTACTTTTGTGAAGAGGGTGTTTTTGATATAGTAAAACGTTTGATACTTTTTTTTAATAGTAATTTTCCACTTTACGTAAGAAACAAAAGTGATTGCATTCCCGGTGAGGACCGTGGGGGTCCCAATTGTATCGTCGTGACCGTCAGAGTCACACTCACAGCGTTTTTGGACATGAATTGAAAAATTATTATAATTACCAGATTTTTATGTATCGTCGAACTGAGAGAGAAGTAAGTAGCTTCGTTTGCTTCCTCTGATATTTTTGCTACACTCTCTCAATAATGAATTGCCTTCAGAATCTTCCCAGGTATCTCTTCTTGCTTTCACAAATTAGCAATTTTTATGAAAATGTTGTTGATTTGGGTTCTTTGATTTGATTTGAGTTTGTGTGTTGTGTTTGATCGTTACTTATTTCAGATGTTTGGTCTCACCTCTGCTGGGATTTGGGTGCATTCAAAGAGATCCTTCTCCTTCTTCTCTGAAGATGTTAGTATCACCTCCGATCAAAGCCAACGATCCAAAAGCTCGACTTTTTTTACTGGTATACACCTCTTTTAAGATATATTGTTATATCAGTGTTGTTGGGTTTTTGTTTCTTGCTTTTATTGAAACTTTTCTAAATGCTTTGAGTGTAGGCAGTATCAGAGTCAAAGTCCAGCTCAGAGATGAGTGGTGTTTCAAAGGAGGAAGAGAAATCTGATGAATATAGCCAAGACATGACTCAAGCTATGGGTGCTGGTAAGTTTAGGTTTTACCTATACGTGTCCTTACATTGGAAACTCTAATGATTTCATTTCTACCAATTGTTGTCTGGTATTGGAATATTGACTTGGTTCATTAGATTGTACTCTACTCTTATAAAATTTCAATCTTTCATCTTGATTCTGTCTACCAAGGAATCCTAAATCTTTTGCTTGTTTATTGGCAAACTTACCCCTCTTGTCTCCTTAATTTTGTAATTCAGTCACTAATTGGTGCTTTTGTCTTTTGATTTCAGTTTTAACTTACAGGCACGAGTTAGGAATGAACTACAACTTTATTCGTCCAGATTTAATTGTTGGATCCTGCTTACAGGTTTTCTTTTTTATCCTTCGGTCAAATGGTGATTTTGCTTTAGAAATGTGTTACTTTCTTGGTGTTCTTATTGTCTGCTCTCCTTTATTGCTAGACCCCTGAAGATGTTGACAAGCTTCGTAAAATTGGGGTCAAAACTATATTTTGCTTGCAACAAGATCCAGACTTGGAGTATCCTTCCAAAGCTCTCTTTTTCTGTTCATGTTTATGATTTTTTTTTCAGTTTCCTTGACCAATCATTCCAGATATTTTGGAGTAGACATAAGAAGCATTCAAGCCTATGCTAAGAAACATAGTGATATTCAGCATATTCGCTGTGAAATCAGGTAAGGCCTTGCTAATTCAAGGAGCCACAATTGATGATCTAGCTGTTGGAGGGTAGTCTCAGTTATCTTTTAGGCAAGCAGTCTTTAAATTCCTCATGTTTTGTCAGTAAAGTGTTATACTTTCTTTTTGTTTGGGCTCTTTACTTTTATCACTTTTAGCAATAACTGGTTTATGACTAATACTGAATGACTTTTTGTTTTACCTGGTGCGAAATCACTGCTATCAAGTATCAACTAACTTTTTTGTTCGTCCACCTATGTCTGTTTGCGAGCTAGAGTAAATGTAGAAGTTAGTCATCATACCAGTCTCACTAAATTTCTTTACTGTTAAAGACTTGGAACTATCATTATCCCTTTTCGCATATGGCGTATATGAGAATGTTCACTAGCACATGCATAGAAAAATTCACCATGAACGCACTCACTCAGAATGTAGGGGATTGACATATTATAATATTTGATGTAACAGAGACTTTGATGCATTTGATTTGAGAATGCGTCTTCCAGCTGTGGTTAGTACACTTTACAAAGCTGTTAAGCGAAATGGAGGAGTTACATATGTGCATTGCACTGCTGGAATGGGAAGGGCTCCTGCTGTTGCGGTATGTTGCAGAGACCTGTTACTGTGCTAATCTCTTTTCCCCCTTATTTTTTTTGTACCACATCTTTCATCGTGAGTCTTCTATGGGCGTAACTCTATTGCTTCCCAAATTTGAAAAATTGTTTCAATTCAGTTCGAAGAAATAAAATATGAGACTGTTGAAATCAGTAGTCATCTTATTTTTGTGCTTCTTCGGTTGAATGAGGGAGTAATCAACAAATGTTCACTTTTTGCTGACTAATACTGAGAAGAGGTCTTGATTTCAATTTCAGTTGACATACATGTTCTGGGTGCAAGGCTATAAACTCATGGAAGCTCATAAATTACTTATGGTAAGATACTGGTGTAAGAACTGCTCTCTGTTGCCTCTGCATGATCTTCTTGGTACCTATATTAAGTAACCCAACATGGTAATCATGTTCAACTAATGTTATTGCTTGTTATATAATGTGAGGATGCTTGGGGATTTGCTTTTTCTCCTATGAACCAATGATTATGATAAGTAGAATTCCAAACCATTTGGATCACGTTTTGCAGTAATATATACTGAAAAATAGCATTGAAAAGAAAAACTCTTGGGTTCATACATCAATTAGTCTAGCATTTAGACATATTAATTGAGAGATTTTTCGATGGCTGGTAAAGCATAAAGGCAAGCGTAAAATTGAACTTTACAACATCTCTGAATATTTATTGCAGAGCAAAAGGTCATGTTTTCCGAAGCTGGATGCTATCAGAAATGCTACAATTGATATTGTGAGTCATCGTTCAACTTTCAAAATGCTTGCAGAAGCTTATCAGTTCCATTGATTAGCATAAGTTACAACATTTGTTGCATAGTTCCTTGATTCCTGATTATTGTTTCCCGGTATAAATGGATATAAAAGCTTACAGGACTGAAGAAGAAGACTGTTACTCTGACACTGAAAGACAAGGGATTCTCCGCTGTAGAAATTTCTGGCCTTGACATTGGATGGGGACAGGTGGAAAAAGTTTTATTTTCCTTAAATCAGATAATATATTATAATTCGTTGTTCTTAAAACTATGGTGTGCCATATAAGCGTTAAAGCTAGGAGCCTAGGATGCACATTTCTCATTGCTGTTTCATGAAAATATTGTCTTATAATTATGCAGAAATACTTGGGAGTATTTATTTTATAATGTAAATCTTTTGCCCTACTTATCACCAGATTTTTTTCCTTGATGTAGAGGATACCTTTAACACTGGACAAAGGAACAGGATTTTGGACCCTAAAGAGAGAACTGCCTGTGAGTTTTCTTAATAGACTGGAAAGCTCAATGTATGTTTTTGTTATCATTTTCTGACCGCAGTTACAACTTCTGAAACACAGGAAGGGCAGTTTGAATATAAATACATCATAGATGGTGAATGGACACACAATGAGGCTGAACCCTTTATAGGACCTAACAAAGATGGCCATACCAACAATTACACGAAAGTAAAAATGTCTCTGTCTCTTAACATAGGAGTTGAACAAGTATTGATGAATGAGTTAATGCTGTAACGTTGTTGTGTACTAATTAAACAGGTAGTGGGTGATCCAACGAGTGTGGATGGTGCAACTCGGGAGAGACTATCGAGCGAAGACCCTGAGCTGTTGGAGGAAGAACGCTCAAAACTAATCCAGTTCTTGGAGACTTGTTCTGAGGCAGAGATTTGAAAGTTGAAAGCATTTAGACTATGTGAATGTACAACTTACTACTAGTAACAAGAAAATAAAATGCTTCATGTTGGTAATACATGAGGTTACGTTTATTATAGCAGCAAGAAAACATGAAGTTAGTTGTACTATGTTCTAGTATTATATATACATAGAGTTTAATAACGTTCTTTCACCATGTCATAATCGGTGAGGGTCGAAATTGATTGATTAAAAAGTATTCTGGCTACAAAAGTGACCTGAAGATAAGAAATTTTGAGATCAATAAGGGTCTAAATCAATTAAAAAAAAGTGTTCGGGGTCAAACTGAAAATAAGTAAAGAAATAAGGAATAACGAAGATGACGATTTTGCCCCAAAAGGTGAAATAATTTACCCAAATTCCCGCTTGCGCCTCCCAACACTGACACTGGGTCTGTGTCTGTGTACTGCGTAGGGTTTAGTCCATTTGCGAAGATGACTCGTGAATTCTAATCTCGCCCTCTCTCTCTTTTTCTCGCGGTTGCAGAGTCGTAGGTAAACCGTATAAGCACCTTTCTTCTTACTTTCTCATCTCTTCTTGGTTATCAATGGAGTTTTTGCTTTTCAATTGTCCTTTTTCTTTATGGTGATAAGAATTCCGCTTCGTGTGGGTTGTCTGGATTGGGAGTCTTCGCTGTTCTGTTTGCTATTTAGCCAGTTCCTGTTTCGAAATAATGAACTAAACGGATCTGTCTTAAGAATTTTGTTTATTTGGTAGACTTGTAATGTATTTTTTTTTGTTGGGATGATTGTCTGCTTCTGATTGTGCTTTAACTCTTCTGTAGCAGGATATATAGATAGAACAAAGAAAAAACATGCACTCTATGAAGACTAGTTACGCTGGGCAAATTTTTGCTTTAGCTAAGCCTCACGATTCTGGAGGTAAGAGGACTCGTAATAGGATTCCTAAAGAAGAGAGAAAGACACTGGTGGAATCTTTTATAAAGAAGTATGCACCTTAATTCTCTTCCCTTAGCCAGGATTTTGACATTCTTTTTTCAATCGTACCTATTGTAAATTTGTAATTGGTGTTTGTTTTCAGGCATCAAAAACTAAACAATGGGAGTTTTCCTTCACTTAGTCTCACACACAAGGAGGTTGGTGGATCTTTCTACACTATAAGGGAGATTGTCAGAGAGATTATCCAAGAAAATAGAGTCCTTGGTCCTGGTGGCTTGCTTCTTGAGGGAAATGGCTCTGTGCAAGATCAAAGTCTTTCAAGTTCTATCCTGATGGATCCTGTGCCCCCTTTATCTTTCTCAGATCAAAGTTATGATTTTTCTTCTGAGGCTGAGGAGATGAAGTCACCTGGAAGCGGGGAAAACATTAACGGTAGCCAGGCTAGCTTAGATGACAGAGGATCTGGTATATTGGATTGCAGGGAAGTGAATGGAAATCAAGACATTGGGCTCGTACACCAGGCAATGGACTCCACTGAGATATCCATGACTCAGCTTGCAGCATCTTGCAGTGAAGAAAATGATATCAAGCGTGATGTAGGGCTACAAAATTGTATGGAGACCGTGTGCGATAATGTTGCCACCAAACCCCTGGGTAAAAGAATCGATGTGGATAACAAAGATGAAGGATTTGAGGAACTACCTTTGATGAAATCAGACGACACAAATCCTGTTAACAATGACGAAAGACTGAATGATGCAGGAGCAGCAATGACCGAGATTGAGAACGTGAAGAACGTATTAGGCATAATTGATATGCCAGCAGAAACAGTTGCTGAGAAGTTTCCATTAAAATCTGTGACTTCAACGTTGGACTCACCGGATGGACAGCCTAGAGACGTGGACGAAGTTTGTGAGGGTGGGAAAGGAACTGAGACAGAGCTGGAAGCTCATAGCAGCACCATAAATCATGTTGATCTTGGGGAGATTTCATCATCCACTTCTTCTGCGGTAATTAAAGAAAAAGGGACGGAAGTCATTGTTGGTCAAATGCCAAATCATATTTCTGTCATTATGGAAAAGAAAGTTGGAGAGGAAATTGTAAATCCTGCTTCAGTAGATGTTGAATGTGCTGATACTAAAGAGACCGTTGTTGTGAATGGTGTGATTGGCAACATCCAGGAGACAAAGGAATTTAGTAATGGAACTTTGACAGCTGAACGGAAAATGCCAACATCTAGCACTGAGGTAAGCTTCGTCTAGTATATGTGTGCTTTTACATTTTATTTGAATACTGAAACTAAATATTCTTCATGGTGTCGATGCAAGAAAAATGTTTGTGTTCAACAGGTTTCCTATCTGAGCTTAGGATAAAGTTTTTCATGATAGTGGAATAGTCAACCTCTTGAATGTTTTTAGATGTTTTGGTAGTCAATTTTGATATCCAACTTTGAGAATTACGGTGAAACTGAATGTATGCAAAGCTGATTGTTGATTGTTCTTAAAAACTAAGTTAAACTACTTGGCACATGAGAAATCCACATATGGATGATAACTTTGTAATCTTTAACTGTGTAACAGTCGGGAAGTCCTAAGAACGACAGAGCAAAAGTGGACACTGTGAGTAGCTATGCCGGGAATGAAGTCGCAAGTGTAGAGAAGAAGGCAACCATGGAAAAAGGGAAACTTGATGCTCCAGATAGTTCAAGCTCTCAAAAAGAAAACAATGCAACATTAAACAGAATTAAACCGTGAGTAAACTCACTCCAAAGTCTCAATCGTGCTTTAGCGTTGTTGGTATTGTGTTTGGGTCTCCAGAGGTTTCAGTTTCACATACTTTTCTTTCTTCTTATTTTCAGTGAATCGTGGAAAGGGGAATCTAATATGGGAAGACAGGAAACAAATCCTCTCTTGGCAGCTCTGAAATCTTTCTTGACAGCCTTTGTGAAGTTTTGGTCTGAGTAATAATACATTGTAGAGATCTGTTGGTTAAAGCTTTTGTAGTTTTCATTAGTGAGAGTTGGTAAGGTTAAGATAAAAATATGGTTTGAAATGTGCTGTACAATTCTTGTGTTGAATGTTATGGGTTGAATCTTCTGTTCAAATATAGTCCAATCGAAATTCTGATAATCTTCTTGAATATGTCAATTTCAAATCTATGAATCTCTAGGTATCGAATTATCTTGTTTATTGTAGCAGATTTGTATGAAGAATGGGAGCTTGATTCTCATTGGTCAAAACTGGTAATTACATGAACCAAGCTTTGGTTTAGTTACACCACACCAACTGAATGATGCAGCAAAACCCGCCACTTCAACGGTAACATGCACCAAAGAAGCCATCTTTCTGTTACAATGACTCATATTTATTTGATTATTTATTCAGAGACCACAAGGGTTTGATGCCTACTGAAAATGGAAAAAGAGGCAACAAAGATGATGAATGGTGGAGTTAAGTCAAAGTCACCCAAGGGCAGTCCTGATTTCCTCAGATATGTGAGTATGAGATACGTCAAGCTTGGATACATTTACCTTCTCTCTCTCTCCCGTACCTTTTCTTTCTTCATTCCTCCTCTTCTCCTTCTCTTTATCTTTGTATATCGGTTTCTCCCAATCTTGGCTTTTCCTTTATACATCTTCTTTCTCCTCCTCATCTATCATTTTCTTACTCCTTCCTCTGTTTTTCTTCTCGATTTCTCCTGTTACCGCCCACCCGATCATCTCAAGGTCATGTCTCTTCCCTCTCCACCTTTCTTCTCTGTCTTTCTCCGTCTTCTCATTGTTGTTTTGTGGATGTAAATTGTACAGATTACGAAAAGCGACTTCATCGAGCTGGCAATGAAGTCTGGTAACTTCAACGAGACTGCCATCGAGCTTCAAAGAAAAGTGCTGGACCAATCAGGGATAGGAGAGGAGAGTTACATGCCGAGAGTGGTGTTCAAGCCTGGTCACAGGGTCAATCTTCGTGATGGTCGTGAAGAAGCAGCAATGGTGATCTTTGGAGCAATTGATGAACTTCTTGCAGCAACCAAAATCAACGTGAAGCATATCAAGATCCTGGTGCTAAACTGCGGAGTCCTCAACACCACGCCTTCTCTATCGGCCATGGTGATTAACCATTACAAGCTCAGGCATAACACAGAGAGCTACAATCTTGGTGGTATGGGGTGTAGCGCCGGAATCATAGCCATTGATTTAGCCAAAGATCTTTTGAACGCTCATCAAGGCTCTTATGCTTTGGTGGTGAGCACTGAGATAGTAAGCTTCACTTGGTACTCAGGTAATGACGTCGCGTTGCTTCCACCAAATTGCTTCTTTCGAATGGGAGCAGCTGCAGTTATGTTATCTAGTCGGCGTATCGACAGATGGCGAGCCAAATACCAACTTATGCAGGTGATAATAACAAAGAAACACTCTGACTTACTCTTGATCTGTTCTTTGTTTTGACTAATGACATTGTAACTGGTGAAATGAAACAGCTAGTAAGAACCCATAAAGGCATGGACGACACAAGTTATAAGAGCATAGAATTGAGAGAAGACAGAGATGGGAAACAAGGACTGTATGTATCTAGAGATGTGATGGAAGTTGGTCGCCATGCACTCAAAGCAAACATTGCAACACTTGGTCGTCTTGAGCCTTCTTTTGAGCATCTATGTGTATTGGCATCGAGTAAGAAAGCGCTTGATGAGATTCAAAAGGATCTCAAGTTGACGGAAGAGAATATGGAGGCATCAAGACGGACACTGGAACGTTTCGGGAATACATCAAGCAGCAGTATATGGTACGAGCTGGCTTACTTGGAACACAAAGGGAAAATGAAAAGAGATGATAGGGTTTGGCAGATCAGTTTCGGGTCAGGGTTTAAATGCAACAGTGTTGTATGGAAGGCCCTAAAAAACATTGACTCTCCAAGACACAATAACCCATGGAATCTCTGACTGACGATTTTTCGATACCCCAACTCTAAAGTTTGATCACAAAAACAGCTACAAGTGTATGGTAACGTGAATAAAATAACCCACCAGTGAAAAGAGTCAATTAGGTAAACATGCAAACTCCCATTTATATAAATAATGTAACTGCATTTGAACATATCCTTGATGCTCGGATCTTACATAAGGCAAACATCCCAATCAAGAGATGCAATCTGCTCTTGCTGTGTTCATCATCATCAGCTAAAAACTAAGCTTAACTACACTAGCACATGAGAAATGCACATATGGATGAAACTTTACAACATTTTATATAAACTTGAAGGTAAACTTGAAGCTAGGGATAGTTCCAGTTTCTTACACACAGATGCTACTGTCTGGAGCCACTAGACCCTCAAGTTTCCATCCGCCAGGGCCAGAGAGCGCAAAAGCCTGTGATGGCCAAAAGAAAATTTAGCTCCAAATCAAAGAAAAAGCGAGCTCAAGCATATCTGAAAAAGGATGGAATCTACAAACTTCTTCCCAGGAGTTGCCAAAAGCCTGAAGCAAAGCAGCATTGCATGTTTTCAACTTAACAGAAGCTCCAGAGAGCATGGAAGCTGCTTCTTCCCAACCTTTATTATGCCCCATACACCTGTGAAAGCAATTGGGAAGAAGAATTATAACACAGCACAAGGAAGATGAAGCAAAAAAGACTGATAAGAAACTAACTAACTAACTAACTAACATGATAGTGGAGATGTCAGGGGTTGAATATTTAGAGATAATGTTTTGAAGATGCTCGGCGGTTTGGCCATCCATAGCAGCAATGGAGTAAAAGCTAGGAATGAAATGTACATTTGCCTCCATAAACTCATCTACTTGCGCTTGCATTGACTTCAGTGTCTCTCTAGTTCGAGTGGCGTCACTGTGAAATGAATCATTTTACCACAATCCTCAATCACGAAACGAAAAATCCAAACTATCCTAATTTGAGGAACTTGGAGTTCAGACCTTGAGAGAATGAGTTGGGGAAGCCAACCAAGTGAGGAGAGGATTTGAGCTACTTTGGCAGCATCGGCTTGTCCTGTTTTACTTAGAGGACGATCATGGTCTATCGTTGACACACAGAAAGAGAGACATAAAGATTTGATTTTCCGATTTTGAGGGAGAAGAAGAGAATCAGAGAAAGAGAAGAGTACCTACCTCTGAGGGAAAGATCATCCCAGGAACTGTGAGCGTGTCGGAGAAGGATAAGACGGCGAGAGATTGGGGACGACGGAGAAGCAGTGAAGCCACTGGTCGCACGAATTGGAGCCGTTGAGCGAGAGTTGGTGCTCCGATTTGGGACGGAGATGAAGAAAGGAGGACGACACTGCAAGCTAAGCATCTCTGGCTGGCTTGGCTTCGCCTGATTTTAGTAAAGACTGATGCTTTGTCGTGTAAACGATTTAAAGAACTGTAAAAATGAATTATTTTCTATTCTTTCGCCGTGAATTTGAAGATAAGGTCGATTCTCGATTGGTCCGAGGTAGAGGAAGGACCCGGAGAGCAAAAGATTTGAACTTGAGACCTCTGAGGAACCGGTGGTCGAGATTTCGATCAGTTTGCCAATGAAAGTCTAATGAGATTCAAGTGCAAGCCCTGGTTCTTCCTCATGGAACAAGGACTTACAACAGAGCAAGCAAGAGACGTAGACACTAAATTAAGAAATTTTGAGAGACCAAAGCTCACAAGTCACGACTAGCAATTTTAATACATTCATCAACATTTATGGAAATGAAACTTGGGCGGAGATAAATTTAGCTTGGGGCTCTTTACACTGACTAGAAATCAGATTACACAACTATAAGCTTTTGAAAAGATATGGTTTCATTTTCAACTTGGAATGAATACAAGATGATTGATATACTATGCTCTAAGATTTGCATTACAAAACTCTTCAAACCGATTCTTTTCACATTCTTTATAATCCCATCTGCTTACGCCTTATTCACCCGAATCTTCTGTCCTTCCAGCAACTGCAGTTTAAAACCAACCGCAAAATGAGACAAAAAGATTATGCACACTCTATAGATGAAGCAATTGAGGGCACTTACCGAATTGTTAAGAGCCAAAATGGCAGCTTCCACATCTTCTTCTGAAGAAAACGTAACGAATCCAAACCCGGTGGATTTCGAAGTTCCAGGTACTCTTGAAACTTTGGCACTTACTACTTTCCCTTTCTCAGAAAACAAATTCTCAAGCATCTCCTTTGTAACAGTCTTTGCTAGATTTCCTACATACACTTTGTAAGGGCTATCTACAAATGCTGAATCTTCAGACTGAAGCAGTGATAAATCAGGAGATGATGATGCTATAGGTTTCTCTGTAATGTTAACCTTTATCTCACGCCCTTCAACGGTCTAAGTAACAAAACAACAAAGCTCTGTCATTTTTCAGAACCTAAATGAATAGAAAGAAGCAATTAGTGGTCCAAAAACTCACATTGCCATTCAATTTCTCAACCACAGCATTAGCATCTTCAACTGATTTCATAGTAGCAAATCCAAACCGGCGGCTTCGTCCTGAATACTTATCATACATCACCTGTTGAATTCAACACATAACATCAAATAACAAATATTGATGATAACTAAGTAACTAACTATAGAAGAAGGAGATGTAAGAATAAAAACCTGAACTTTTTCAACAGCACCGTGTTCTTCAACAAGTTTAGTGAGCTGCTCATTGGTCACTGTCCTTGGTATGTTACCGATATAGACACGCCTGGCGGCTTCGGAACTAGGGTCCAAAGCGGCGGGTTTTTCTTCCGTCTCCGTTACAGCATAAGGAATGAATCTCGTTCTAGAGCTCCGGGAGAAGGTTCCGGCGAGAGAATGAAAGGGTTTCGAGGAGAATACATTGGCCCGCGTCTGCAAAGGGGTGAAGGATTCGGACTGGAATGAGAAGATTGTAGGTTTGATTGAAACAACATTTGTCAGGAAAGTCGCCATTGTCGGAGAGAGTGAAGGTGTCGATAAGGAAGAAGGTGTTCTGAGTGTCGTCGACATTATCCATTTAGCCGTGTCTCACTTCTAACCTCTGTGGATAATTGGGCCTTATCAAGGCCTGAATTTTGGGCCTATAAACATTATGCCTATAGAACAGTTGTGAAGGTTGAAACTGACCGACTTTCTTAAAGTCCTATCCTGACTATGCCTTAATGTTTCAGAGGTCATGACTGAGCTTGCCGGCTATGCCCCGGTCTGCACTTAACCGTTATCAAGTGCTAGGCTGTCCCCGCTAGATTAGGGTCGTGGCAGACTTAAACTTAAAAGGTTGATATACACTTTTTGCCATTGACAACATCGCTACAAGCCACATTGCGCATCATAATGATGGTAGATGATCATAAACGAGTTTAGTATAAAGTGTGCCTCTAAACACACCAGAAACCAAGTCAAGAGTTATAGTGTAAAGAACAAAAATAGTAAGGCTGCGAGGTTAATTATAAGCGTGAACTGTGAGCTTATTCCAGTTACTAGAAAATCAATGAAGTTTTTTTGGGATAAAATTACACCCGCAGAAAAGTGAGGGGAAAAGAAAAAAAAGGAAAAAGCCAGACATACCTGGAAGCGGGACTTACCCAAATCATTGTAACAGAATGAGAAGAAAAACAAAGCTTAAGGTACAAAGGTGTTGTCATGTAATGAAATCAGCATGTGGTTTATCGACTTCCTGAGACAAAAACCAACTTCACTACTTAGAATCGTGTACTTTCTTTGAGCACCATTTTCCTTCAAGATTCCTACTTTTTCTTATTTTTTGGCTTTTTGCTTCTTCCTATCCAAAGATGTTAAACCAGCACCCAATCCTGCAGGAGCCAAGTTTTCTGTTTTCCCATTTTCAGAGGATTCTTTCTTCTCTTGTACCTTTGCTTCCCCATTTTCTCCACCTTTCTCAGACGAATCTGTGGCGGTATTGATCATGTTTTGGAGTTGAGAGAGTGGTGGCATCGCTTGAACTGGAACACCACCCTGAGGGCGAACCAGTAGCCCCTTAGCAGCTGCTTTCTTCCTAACTTCAGCTGCAGCACGAGCTGCTCTTTCATCAAAACCTCTGCCCCGTGGTTGAGGCTCCCCAAGGACAGCCGAGTTCAGTGCATTTGACCTCCCAGTAGCTGCTGCGTTTTGGAACGCATGTATCAGGTCTGGATGTGCCTATTCCATACCAATCAGGAAAACAATTTCATTAGTATTTCAACTCTACAACATCATAGATAGAGGAGTTTTTGTTTTTTCATATAATACGCCAAAATCTAAAGCCGCAAGTATACCTTTAGGAGATCGATAGCCTTTTGTGTGTTGGCCGCATTGGCTGCCTGTCCTTTCTGCTTTTGTGCAGTCATCTGATGCAAAACCCAACCAGAAAATTTGAGAAATACAAACAAAATGTATACTGGATAAATGAGGTTCTCCTCAGTCAATCAGTGCATCAAACCTGAAGCTCACGCATCTTAAACGTCTTCATCCAGTTTAGAGAGTCTCGTGTCCTAGAATCATCGTCTCCCAATTGTTTTACAAGTATGTCGTAGGTTTTCTTCTCATGCTGACAAGAACAGAACAATTAAGTCAAAAGGTGAGACAGATAGGATGACGAAGTCTTTATGAAAGTTTTAGTACCTGGTGTGAGAGCTTGAATGCGCCCATACAGTTGAACGCAATGGCAAGAGCGTGGTAGCATACTGCAGTCTGAATGTGTTCAGGACCAAGAAGTCTCTCATTTTTCTTCAAAGCCTCTTGAAGATAACGTAGAGCTGTGTCCATTTTGCCCATGTCTTGATACATCATGGCAACATTTATAAATGTAGCTGCAACATCTGGATGATCAGGGCCAGATGAAAGGCCAAGGAGAAGCAAGGCTCGACCCATGTTCTGTAGAGCAAGTTCTGTCTGATTCAGTCCATGGTAGAAAAGAGCCATATTGCCATAGCTGCAGTATTAAAACATTTGAAGCAAGTAAATAGCTGAAAGTACAATAGTTTCCAACTCAGGTCGCAGTATTAATATAAAAGAAAGATAGTTGATACCTATGGGCAGTATCAGGATGGTCTAAACCAAGGCATCGCTCATTAATAATGAGTTCCTTGTGTTGCTGCATTATGGCCCCAGCCATATCTCCTGCATGGTACAAAACCATGGCCAGGTACCTGAAAAGCAAAAGACGACAAAAATCATAAGGCAACTAAAACGGACGACCATGGATATTTTTCCAGAAAAACAAAAATCAGTCAGACGCATACCTGCAGCAGTTTGCAACTTCCCTATGCATTGGACCAGTCACCTGAAATCAGAATATGATGAGCAACTTTGGTGTTAAATTATTTTGACAGATCAAGATGCATATATATACTACTTACCTGTTGAAGTATCGAAAATGCCTCTGAAAAGAACGTGTAGGATTCACTAAGCATGCCCTACAAAAATTTAATCATTTAATAAATACAAAATTATAACAAGAACCATTCAAAATGCAACTATCGCAAACTAAAACAAGAAGCTCAATGAAGAGTTGAATGCCAACCCAAATCGCAATAAGGTGCTCCTGATCTTATCCAATACAAACATATTGGCAAAAATTAGCAAGCAAAAGTTAGCTAGTGTGAAATAACAAAGGTACCTCAGCCAGTTGGACCTTTCCCATCTCAACAAGATCTTTAGCCTCAGAGCATACAGGGACAGAGTGCTTAATTACGGGCCGAAGATCCAAAATATCTGACGTCTCAAAAGGCGAGGTTGCACTGAAGTCGTATTTGCGTGCAGCAATACTGACACCAACCTGTTAACAGAAAAAGGGAGGGATTAATAACAATTATGAACTGACATAATCAGGATTCCTTGGTATATATATTCTGAAGGAAAATGTGTCTCTAATTATTTACCTTTTGGCAAAGATTACGAAGAACAGATACTTTTTTAGCCGTAGTTCTTGATAGCTCGGGCAACTCAAACTGAAAATAGGCTCGCGTTAGCTTTAGGTGGTTAGAGTAATAAAAATTTAACTGGCTTAGAAAGGTGACAACAGTTCCATAGACAATCAAATAAATATGCTCAACTTGATAATGACTACAGTTTACCTCATATTTCGCTTTGGCAAATTCCTGAATGTCAGACCATAGAATGTTGGAGTCAACCATCATATACGATGAAAAGCTTTTCTTTGAAGAAGATTTTCCCTTCCCTCTTCCTTGACCCTTCTTTGTGATGGGTTGATCCTGTCCACATTCAAGGTTTAGTTTCACACCTTAAACTAATAAAAGAAAAAGCATGACTTTTTTCATCAGAAACTTTTCTAGACGGCTCCAATGAACTGCAATATCCTAATTCAAGATTAACAAACATAAAACTATAATAAAACAAACTCTGATAGTACACAAGAACCTTCTTTTGATTTTTGGCACTAGCTTTTCCCCCAGCAGCTTGATAGTTTCCAAAGAAACAATTGAGGAAATGTGAGACTGCTGATCCAATATCATGATCCTCTATGTCTCTTAGAATGTCCTGCACAACAACGTAAGAACATACAAATAACATTATAACCTATTACAAGTGTGTCCACAGATACCCTACCTCTTGTTGTGGCATGCTTTTACAATATCCAAAATTACCTTCAAAATGTGCTTCGCGGATCTTACAGTAATCTCATTCAGACAAAGATCCCACAAATGAGGCAAATGCTTCACCCCATTAGCAACCTGGTCGTGCACAGCTACTGTTAATAAAGTCAAACATAGAGATAGCTAACAAAATGATAACGACAGCTGAAAAAACTTACTCTTCCAATGTAACGAACATTAACACCATGAGCATGGAGTGCTTCAGTCAAAGTCTGACCATCCATTGGAGAAACTTCGAGAGTGCAAAGATCTTCTATAAATTTTGGAAGAACCACATCCACAAGGTATGAGCTAACTTTCTTCACATTTTCTTCATCAGCAGCTATCTCCTGTTTAACCCAAAAAAGGATCCAATCAGTTAAATAAATTTTAAGAGATAATCTGAATACAAATAACCTATAGGCAACATAGCCTACCTCTTGATTGCCACCTAATGTGAAGTCAGTGAAGACATTGGGGTTAAATGCTATTTCATCACATGATTTGGAACTTTCAGACAACCCGGCTGCAGAATCTTCGGCGGTGGTATTTTGCTTGTCTGAAATAGTTTTCTGTAAAGAACTCGCAAATATCAGCAATTACAGTTTTTTTAAATCAGATACAACTGTTATCAGACATTGCTATCCAACCGTAGAAAACAACGATGGGAAAGAATCTCAAAGCAAAAACAATAAAGGGATGTAGCAGCCAGACCCAGTCCAATTGATTGGTTCAGTATAGATCTACTAATGTATAAGTACAATTGTTATTTCCATCATTGTTACATGGCCCAATCCTATTTGGTATTTTGTCAGTCTGCCTTTTCATCACTTGACAAACCGTCTACATCTATAAAATCTGAAAGCGAGACACCGTATCCACATAAACTAATAGCAGCCAATGCACACAAAAAGCAGGGTATATCATGCAGATGTGAAATGCTAAATATTAGCATACAAATCCCACTTGAAATAGAAACGTCAATCAGTACTAAATAAGCTTAATACACATATCTATCAGGATCAAAAAGTGAAACATATACCTGATCAGAATTTGAAGCCCCATTTTCCTCTCCATCGATCAATGCATCACCAACTTTAGAAGTATCAGCACTAACATTAGAAGAATCATCCGCCCCTTCATCAGCCTTGGATTTCAATTTTGATTTTTCCAATGATTCGGCCTTCATGATAAAAATACATTGTCAAAGGAAAACTCAAGAGCATACTTTTCGAAGGAATAAAGAAGTTACGTACCTGGCAAAATGATGTGATCAGTTCTGGTCTTAGGACACAAAAGCGGGACTCTGGACCCGTATAATTGGCATCACGAGGCGTCACTCTCATCAAGTCCAAGAGATAATGTCTGTTATCACTCCCAACAATCCCCTTGCACTCTACAGGTGCAGCCAACTTGAAGACAGTTTCGGATGCATCAATAACAGAATGTTCCTTAATGTGAAGAAGCTTTGCAGCCTCAAGCACCTGAAGAAGGAATTAATCAGGATCAAAGAGTTCTGCTAGGAAAAATGCAGTCTTATAGTAATATATAGATAAATATTAATGCTAATATTGTACAGATAGATCACCAGTAGAATTTTTTCACATTAATGCCTACGATATCCAACAGCAAGACAGACTATATCCATTTACCTTAGCATGAAAATCTTCATTCCAGCATATTTTCTTGCCATTATCGACTGAACCATACAAAAGCGCATCTGATTTATCCCCTTGAAGGATTCCCGGTAGAACACTCTAAAACACATTGCAAAGATACTATTATAATGCACACAAGCAAGACACAGATTCTCAAGAATAAGGACTTGGCAGTTCCAGTCTTAGAACAAACCTGAGCAACAACCCTATGACCTCTGTAATCAATAATGGCCATTGCCAGATTATATAGCCCTGGGACATCTGCTTCTTGATATAACTTTGTGCCTTTCAAATCATTGTTTGCAGAGGCATACGTTGCCTGTTCATTTTCAACAAGCGGCGCCTCATTACAGCTGTTATGCTCTTCATTCTCGCAGGTTGCATCTGTGCATGAAACCTTTTCAGATGAGGACACCTTCTCCATCACTTGATTAGATGGACGTTTCTTGGAGAGCTGTTCAATGTCGGCATCAACAGCAAAACTGAAAAAGATGTTGTTGTGCACATACCTACAAAAGTGGAACAATAACAAATGTTTAGAATTGAAAAACTCATCCATAAACACAAATATGTAAACATTTAGATGCTCTGTCATTTTTCGACATTTATAGAACACAAAGGGGATTACTAAACTGCCAAAATTTCATGAACACAATGAGCTAGAATCAATAATATATATGAGTTGCTTATGGAGAATCAAAAACAAGGGCCAAACAATTCACACTGACATGTGCAAACACTCTGGATCAGTTGGGTTTATGGGTGGTATACATCGGCTGATTACACCAATAGCTCCGTTAAGCGCTGCATCGACAAAATCAGAAGACACTTTGTAAAGTGCCCTGTCACGTAAGATCCTGCAAAGAAGGAAATGTTCAGAAATTTTCAATAAAGGAAACAGATCTGAAATGGAACAGAATCCCATAATTTCATGCTACCGAGAAATCATTGTAGTCAAATATCACATGTACCTCTCTTGAGGAGAAGTGTGAGGGAACTCTCTGCAAGATTGCAACTCTTCGTTCCAATCTCTCTGCATGCCAATTAACTCACTACCATATGAAATGGTAAGTGCTTCTTCTGCTCTCGCTGCATCACGCTTGTGATCTGAGACCAGATACAAAAGTTGGTGCTTAGATTTAATAGAATTAATTCAAGTGAATCTTGTGTTGAAATGGTGAGCCAAGGCTGATTAATTTTGAATTTCCTAGTTTATCAATCACTTACAACAAGAACTTATCTTCTCATACATTAGCAGAAACACATGTTCAACATATAAAACAGAAAATTAGTCGGTTGTCAATATAAAAGCAACAAAATGGACCACATTCTATCAATCAATTTACATAAATTTGTTGGACAAAAAACATCAAAATGAATATTATCCGAGATTGTCCAAGATATGGCTTGGCCATTAAGAGGCAGTCACAAAGGGAACACAGTAGAGAGGAACTTCAAGGATATATTACATATTATGCAATCAAAATCAAGGTAACCTTCAACCCCACTACTTCTATGGCTGCCATATGAATATCTCAGAACCATTATCAGTGCATAAAACTGTATAACGTAGAGTAACGACCTCTGAAAGAACAGTTGAGCCAGCCACGAAAGAACCAAAACACTAAACCATACTACTGTGCAGAACGCAAGTATATTATATAAACAAGTACGTCTGCGCAAGACGGATGACAATTCAAATGCTATTAAAATTAAACTCACCGGGTACTGGATAAGTTCTTAGCCATGAGTGTGGTGGCAAAAGCGATTGGACATTTTCAAACGGATGAGCAGAGGCTTTCTTTTCCATGACTTCACGGAAAGCTTCAAATTTAAAGGAAAAATAGAAGCTAATCAACAGATTGAATGCTTATCACGTCATAGAAAGAGTAAAGAATAAACTTAAGAAGAATGGCGTATATACTGTTTCCCACCTTTTTTAAACTTAGAGCTAAGTTTTTGCAATAGTCCAATCAGCGTAGCTGCTTCATGTCCAGATTTACTTGGCCTTGGATCGAGAATATTCCCTGAGCTGGAATTAACATAAAATGTTTTGGTTGTGCCTGTAATGCAGTGCTTGTTACCTTCCAAGGTCACAACATCCAAATATATTAAATCTCCTACAAGCCTGCAACAAATAAATGCATAAGAAACAACATAAATGGTAAACTTATCCTTTACAAATGCTAAAATAGGTTGCTCAATACCTTCTGTGGCTTGGAGGAGGGTTGAACGATGAGAACACAATGTTTTCCACAGATTTGATCTCTTCTGATGTAGAATTTATTAACTTCTTGAGAGAGCCAGGCACATCTTCCATAAAACCCAAACATTCCAGCTCTGGAACGTCAGACTTTGGTTTATCTGTTTCAATATAGAGGCCATAAATAAATCCTTCACAGTGCATGAAAATGTTAGCAAAGCAAAACACCATTAAGAGAAAGATTGAAATTTGAAACCTCCGGGGTTCTGAACTTTGTTCAGTGCTGCGTCATACTGCAAGGCAAGTGTTGTTGATAAGGAAGAGTGAAGTGTTGAAAGCGACAAAAGATCTCTGGCACGGTGAACGTGTGCTCTGATAGATCTATCATCATACAATGCTGTGGAAAGAAACATAACAAGTCAACTTTCAGTTTATAGTCTCAACCCAAAAGAATGAAGAAAAGACAGACTTAGATACCTGCAACCATTTCCAAGGAGCAACCACCAAGGGTGATGTCAGCTACTTCAGAGATCTCATTGTAGTCTTCCAAATGATGAGTCTCTCCATCTTTATTGCGGAGTAACAACTCATAACAAGTGAAGTAGCACGTCTCTGGAGCATCAAGGAGGAACTGCCTTATATCCATCACAGAGTCTCCAGGGTTCAACTGAAACACATCCATTGGACAGACTTAGTAATTAATATATAAGAAAAAACAGTAGGAAAGGGTCAAGCTTTACAAGAAATATCTAGAGGTATTAAAATCCCTGAAGAAATGGAAACACTATGTGAACGACTAAGGAAAATTGCATATAAACGGTTAAGAAAAACAATAAGTCAAACTCACTTGAAGCTCCATTTTACCCCCACTTTGTGTTTTGACAGACACAGGATAAAGACGGAGTTCACCTGTGAAAGCCAAAACAAAATCAGACACTTAAAGCAATACACAAGAGAGGGTGAATGAATCAACTTAGCTTACGAGAAAACCACACTGACACATTAAATGTAGATATAATATAAATTGGGTGCTTCCTAGAAAACATATTAGAGCTAACCTTGCTTGGGTTGGGCATCGTTACTTGCTACTTGTACTTCACTTTCGTCAGCCTTAGGAATCGTAGGAGGAACTTCATTGGCTTCAGACACCGCAGAGTCAACAGCATTGGCGGTGCCGTTATCGGGAGCAGTAACCGGAGTAGTAGCAGGAGCAGTAACAGGGGCAGTAACCGGAGCAGTGACAGGAGCATCTGATTTAACATCAGTAGAATTGGTGGTAGAGCTCTGAGCTGCTCTCTTGGCCTTCGATTTGTTCGACTTCCCAGCCATTTCTCCTATTGGAGGAAAGATTCAAAAGTGATTGAATTGGAGAAAATAAGATTCATTTGACGGAAACAGAGGAAGAGGAGCAATACAATCCAAAAGGGGGAAAAAGTCACAGATACGTCATCAACAGCGAGAGAGTGAAAGACCAATTCGCTAAAATATAAGTAAAGGGGATAGTAGAGGATCTGAAAATGAATTACCTGGAGGGGTCGAGAGAAATGGAGTGACGGCGGAGACGGCGGAGAGATCGGCGGAGTAGGAAAGAGATGAGGTTTAAGGAGGGTTGAAGTGAAAGAGGCGGCTGATGATTTTCTGACTCCTCTCTATGTGTTAGAGCTGAGTAGAAGTAAGAGAGAGAGAATAACAGACCAATCACTTCTTTTGGGTTTCTAATGGGCTTTGTTTGGGCTTTTTAAAGCAGGAAAGATGCGTAATTTATTGCAAATCATCTGAACTTAAGAAAAGTTTACATACCCACATCACATTAGATGAGAATCATGGGATTGGGATTAATCACTGACCACAAAAATATTATATGGACAATTTGATAATCCTAATCTGTTCTACTTTACACAAATATTAGGGTTTTTCTTGGTGTGGGGTGGTGTGTATGTAAGCTTTTTATTAATTAAGCATATAAAAGTCTTTTCATGTATGTAAGTACAGAAGGAGTATTTCTTTTTCAAAACGAGTATCTTTTGTTTTTAAATCCATTTATACATATTAATATACATCAATTTCATAATCAACAAAAATATTATATTAGCCACACTATATTCATAAAGCATTATGACAGAGATATCATATTAGCCACAATAGGTTGATTAAAAAAAAAAAAAGCATCATTATCACATAACTCATATCATATATATGTTGCCATACTAGGGGTGGGCATTCGGGTATGCGGGTCGGGTTCGGGTAAAACCCGATCGGGTACGGGTCTTTCGGGTAGAGGAGTTTAGGACCCAATAGGGTAAATCTAAAATATCGGTTCGGTTTCGGTTCGGATCTAATCGGGTTCGGGTCGGTTCGGGTTTAGATTTTTAGAACCGCTAAATACCCGAAAAAATCGGGCACCCATCGGGTTCGGGTATTTTATACCCAAATACCCAAAATTTTACCAAATACCCGAATTTTACCCGAAATTTTACTCTAATATCCGAATTTTATCCGCAATTTTACTCAAATATCCGAGTTTCACCCAAAAATTTATCCGAATAACCGGAATTTTGTCCAAATATTTAAAAAATTTACAAGCATCTCGCGTCTAAATATATTTAGTCTTAAATAATAAATATAAATGCATTTAATTTTGGTAATTGCTCTCGAATATTTGGATATAAATGTATTTAGCTCAAATATTACATATATATAAAGTTTTTATATGTATAAGTATAAGTAATTTCGGGTAATCGGGTACCTGTTCGGGTATCGGGTTCGGATCGGGTTTTACCCTATACCCACGGGTACGACAATATAAGACCCAATAGGATAAATAGCTAATACCCGTACCCACCCCGAACCGGTTTTTTCGGGTCGGTTTCGGTTTGGGTACTCGGATACGGTTTTTTTGTCCAGGCCTATGCCATACTATGCCCAACCTAACCAACATGTTTCAAGCAAAAGTTGAGACCACTAGCGTTAAAGAGATGCTTTTTACCAACTACCAACAAAGCAAAGATTGTTAACTTTTTTTACTTTTGGAATTCTTTTTTGTTTGCACTTGTGTCTACAGTCTCTATAACTGTATAAAAGATAAAAGATTTACATGTTTTATTTAATTTTCAAATCTTGTAATTTAACATTTTCTTGCGAACTTAGTATTCAAACCACAATCATTACCTATTAAAGTTATGCTCTAAACCTCAATCTTTGACTGTGCTACTATTTTTTTACCGTCTACTATAGCTAATACCCTCTCTTATCTAATATCAACAATCAAACCTTCTAAGCATCAATTGAACAGGGCAAGTTGTCAGCATTTTGGTAAATGGGAGTTGTAAATTTTGTGAGTTTGATCGAAGATTAAAGCTCTAAAGAGTGGGAAACACATAGAGTAATCGTGAGGCTATTTGGTTGTGAGGTAGGAGAGAGGTGTGAAACGGCATGACATGTAACCCCTTTCATTGTATGGTATATAAAGAAGCCTCATCTCGTTGTTGCGTCATCTCATTACCATCACTGTTTACACGATGATGAAAACTATGGGAGTTCGGCTGGCAATGGCGCTGCTCATGATCATAACTGTTCTTACCATTGTCATAGCGCAGCAAGCAGACCTGCAACAACCACCTCCCCCACCGATGTTGCCCGAGGAGGAAGTGGGAGGATGCAGTAGAACATTCTTCTCCGCGCTGGTGCAGCTGATACCATGTAGAGCAGCAGTAGCTCCTTTCAGCCCGATCCCACCGACCGAGATGTGTTGCTCTGCCGTTGTCACACTTGGTCGTCCTTGTCTTTGCCTCCTTGCCAATGGACCTCCACTCTCCGGCATTGACCGCTCCATGGCCCTTCAGCTTCCTCAGAGATGCTCTGCTAATTTCCCTCCCTGCGATGTCATCAACTAGGAAGGACATATCATCTTTCTTTTCTTTCTTTATTTTCATTTACCTTTCACTCTAATAAACTTGCTGTTTAGTGTATTATGTTCCAGACTTGCAAAACTTTAATAAAGTTATGACAATCGAATCAAAATCTCAGTCGTTAGCAATAATCCATTGTATTTCAACTGATATGTCTGTCAAAGTGATCTATTTGCACACTGAAACGCAAATCCAATCCATACCAACACATCAATTTATCAGCAATCTAAAAACTTGAACATTCTTTTTAATAGAAAAGGAAAGCTCAGCGGTGCTGAGGTGAGCGAAAGATAATAATTGTGCACAGCACATTGATTGATCCTTAGTAATACGCCTTCCTGGGATTTCCCTGTAGTATAATTGAGACAGAGGGTGAGTAATGAAGTGCTATTACAAAAAGAATCGAGCTAAAGATGGAAAAAGTACCAGTGGATTGGGTCTGTGTTTGTAACCCAGCATCATCCGCTTCTTGTACTGCTCGTATATATCATCCTCAGGCTTGACTTCTCCTGGAGCGGAAGCACCAACTCCCAAGTTGTTTGTTTTTACATCGCCTGCCATTATAGGATCTGCCATACCCTTTCTGGAGCTTCCTATACCTTCACCTGTAATCCACTCCTCCAATTTTCTAAGCTCCTTGTCTCCATAAAGGCACAAGATACAGAAAGAAACAAGGGCACCAATTTACAGATAGAGTGAGGCAAGTAAGCACCTTCTTTCCAACCCATTTTTGACAAGAGTTTATGTCCAACATTATCTGCTTGGATTTTAGCCTTCTCAGCAGCCTCCTTTGTGGCTTTTTGTGCAGCTGCATCATTGCACTTTGAAAGGAACTTATCTAGCTCCTCAAGTGGGATATAATCACCCATGTGATGACCTCTCTTTCCAGGGTCTGTGGAGGAAGATTCTGAAATCAAACGTGGTTGAGCGATAAGACAATACAGAAGCCTAAAACCAAAAATAGCAAAGGATTCATTCTCACCAGATGGGCCTTGAAGGGAAGCTGGTGGAGGCATTTCATCTTTTGACTGCCTAGGACGTCTCATTTTCTCTTCTTGGGCAGCCTTCTTCATGTAAAACTCCATCATTGATATAGGGTCTGCACCCTTCGGCCCACTAAAGGAGTCACCTGCAGATCAAACACATGTTAATCAAAGCTAGATACCAGAGATAGGAAGGAACCTAGGTCGATAAAAGGCTAATGAACATACTGTTGCTAGGTCTTGTAATTGACGCCTGAGCAGATCTAGAAGAAGCTCCAGGTTCCTCAGGAGCATCATAGAGAGCTGAAGCAGGGATCTGATATCCTGTTTGTTGATAAGCTGGCTTTTGCAAAGTGATTGCTGCTGTGGACGTTCGCGGGCCTGCATCACCTGGAGAGACAAACGAAGGAAATCGAAGCTAAGAATACAGTAAGATATGGGAGCAGGAAGAGCAGCCTCACATTATCTCTCATACTACAGAACACATATAAATTTGTATTGTAGGATAGAATTTTTTTCGGAAAATAAAAAGAAATGAGCCAAATATTCCTTGCACATGCTTAGCTAAGCATATTCTAAATAAATATAAGGAAAAATAAAAGAGCGCAAATCAGTTGTGACTTTTGGTCTATAGAAACACAGGTGTCTGATACTTACCACTGTGAAGTACACCAGAATCCTTGGTTTGTGAAATTGATTTTTCCTCTTCAGACAGCCTGAATACATAGTACTTGTAGTCCGCACAGTTCTCGTCAAAAAGAAATCTGGTTGGGAAACAGGACACAAGATACATAAGGTCAACAAACACCGCCAAGAAAATTCAAGTACCAACATAGTACGTGTATAAAAGAGAGAATCCAGAAACGTTAAACTATAGATGCTCCAAAAGCAAAGAAATACGTACTTAAATGGTGTATCCCCAGGATTCTTTTGCCGTGTAATGTGCTCAAATGGCCTTCCATGCTTAGCAACAAAACTTGCTAGTTTATCAGCAACTTTCTTCACAGTAGGATCACTGGGCGGAAGTGGTGCTGCATATCACTTATAAAACTGATTAATACCGAGTCCATGAACAACGAATGCAAATCACTCTTGTAGCAGGCGTGGGAGATATTCCAAATCTTTCCAGCAATTGGATTGTTGGTTAAGGAAGACACTGCATTAAGTAGACAATTAAATTTCCAGACTGTTTTTTCCTCTCCATTCCAGCGGAAAAACGCAGCTTCATCAATTAAGACATACACTAACAGGAAGATGAGACTCTTGAAATCTTAGGACTCATAGGCCTTCCTCAGTTTCAGAAAAGACACACAGATTCATCAACAAGGACATACAATGGACATGAAACTCGGGACTCTAGACATCATATGGCATAATTGTACAGAGCCCTCATGGAACACTTACTAAATGGAACAGAGAACCCCTTAGGAGAATATGGAAGCATAAAAAAGCAAGACAAGTAGAACCAACACAGAGACTTGACTTCCACAAAGACCCACTCAAACACAGATATTTATATAATAAACAGCCATTACCAACATCAGATACTCTTGCTGACTTTACAGGCGTGTCTCTCTGCTCTAACTTTTGACGCTTTACAGATCCAAAGCCTTGCTCATTTCTAGCATCCTCCTCATCCTCATCTTCTTCAGTACCAAGCTTCACAGGAGGTGCAAGAAGCTTAGACTTTTGCTTCAAGCTGAAAGCAAGCTTACCACCTTTCTTTTGAGCATCATTGGTCTTTAATCCAATGGAAATTTTATTAGCAGAAGGTTTGGGATTTGATATTATCTTCACCGGCTTAGAATCCTCAACTTGAACAACCTTATCCTTGTCTTTATCTTTCTCCTGTTGAAGCTGTCTGAATCTTTCCATGAATGACCCATCATTCACAAAGATGCTAGGCGGTGCTCCTTTGTTGTCCATTACCGAACAAACCAAGTGCAATAGTTGAATTGAAGTCACTGTTGAACAGATAAGCTCTCAAACTATTCAGCAACCAAATAACTATTTAAGCTCAAAGAAAACACAATCATCGCACATGGATTCTTGATAGGATTCAATAAAATTAAATACTAAAGGAGCATTATCGTCCTCGATTCCATAGAAGTAAGAAAAGCACAAATTATATCCTATCAAACGCCTAAGATTTAACCATGAAAACAACTAGTGGTGGAAAACCTAGGTTACAACTCGGAAAGAAAACAATTAAGATCCATAGACAATTAAATCAGAGAAGAAGAAAAAACGAATTAGACAGAAACAGATTAGCGATCTTGTTACCTGCGTCGATTACCGGTGAAAAGTCGTCGGAACGATATCAAACAAAACGGAAACAGGAGGCCAACGATCGGAGGGATTGAATCGTAAATCAGAAAAGACGATTGTTGTGCGTCTAATATATACACGTGAAGGAGGCCCCTATTTGTTTGTTTTTTCAATTGGATACATAAGATTTCTTATATTTACATAAAGAGCCCGAATGTTTCAAAAGTTACTTTTCATCTTTTTGGAAGTTTTCTATTAAACCCCAAAATTAAATGGTGAGAGTTTAATTAATTGATACATTTTTAGGATCTAAAAAGAAAATTAAAGGGAAAAAAAAAAACAGAACAAATTTTAGTTTGTGACACACATTTTTCTAGAGCGGTTGATATTTCCAAACTTTTTGTTGAATGATGTTTTTGTGTTGCAAAACATAAGTCTTTTTTTGTTTTGTATGATTTCATGTCACGGGCTTATTTCCGGTGATAGCTGCCAAGATTCGAAGTTAGTATTTAGTAGCTTGAATGTGTTTGTGTTGATTAAATCTTGAAGATTATAAAAGCAAAGTGAATTGACTTTAAATCATTGATAAATCACTCATTCGAAGTGTTTAGTTACCATTTTCTTCAAGAAAGCAGAGAATAACTTTATTATAGTCTTCTGATCCAAAGAACCAACCAAACATTAGATGCAAAGAATGTCAAAAATACAGAATCACATTTCGGATTCAAACCCGATGTTCCAAAATCCTTCAGGAGTCATTGGAGGAGCGTATCTATAACGATGCCTCGACACACCTTCATGATGCTCACATCTCAAGCTTTTGTTACCATTTCCTTCATTCTCAGGATGAACAGCATCATAGAATTTCTTGCACTGCTTACACTCTATCCCTTTCAAATTCTCTCTCTCAGCTTTTTTCCTCACTGACTCCACATGCTTGAAACTTTTTTTACTCGTTTCTACAACTTGAATTCGCTGCCTTGATGGACTCGGTTTAGGATTCATGTCCTGTGTCTCATCGTCTGAATCAAGTTTCGTAGCAACATTATGAACATGTTTTTCTTCCCCAGCGACCCTTTTGACATTCTCAATGGGAGTATCTAGAAAATCATCATGAGGATCATGGCCTCCAGGAGATTGGCGAGACCTTGTGTCTCTCCAAATGGAAGCTGGACGCTTTGATCCACTCAGCTGTGGAGATTTTGCAGCAGAGGGGTCACTTCTGACACCAGGTAATCGCACAATTGGTGAGATGGAAGTGATAGGTGTCTGCACCGTTTTGATTATCCTCTCTTTCTCGCAGTTGTTGCCACTCGAGCCATCACCAATTCTCACTTTGTCTGCTCCTTCAGCAGTTTCTGAGTGTTTCTTTTCAAGAACTGTAATAGAAAAGAGTAAAAATTAAGCTGTATGAGTTTACTAATACCAACAAAAAACCTGCAGCCGAAGGACGACTGATTATAGCAAGTAATTTTAACATGAGAGGTAGTTCAGAGTAGTCTAGGTCAGAGACGGCTAATACTTACAACTCGAGATTGCTGGTTTCTCGAGGTAGTCCTCAAGGCTGCTTTGGTGAAGAACACTGTCAGGAGTGAAACCAAACCTTTTGCAGAGAAAAGTATATTGGGACTTCAGCTTTTTGCAAGTACTATAGAGTTCTTTTCTTTTCTTTATCTCCATAGCTAACTCAAATGATTTCTCTTCACTCTGGCGACGTAAAGCTTCAAACTCAGCCAAGTAGCTTCCGTGTCTTCCCTGCATCATAGGCATATCGTCCTTTGCTTTTCCCATAACCACTGTCTTTTCTTTCTCATAATCTGCAATCTTTTGTTTACACTCCAACATTTCCCTCTCTGTCAAGTTGAGTGTACCCTGCAAAACCTCAAGAGCCGTCTGTCCTTCCTCAAGCTCATCGTTCTTCTGCCTGAGCATCTCTTCAAGTCTACCAACATTCTCCTCAAAAACCTGCAACCTAGTCTTCAATTTTTGTTTCTCTTCTTCAACGCTGCTCAACTTCCTTTCACCATCCGCAGCTTCTGTAGACAAATACTCCAGTTTCTTCAGCAGATTCTCCGTCACTAATGTCTTCTTTGAAAGTTCCTCCTGAAGAAATTCAGACTTCACCTTAAGGCTCTTCACTTCCGAAAGAATCATATTAATCCCATCTTCGCTAAGCTCATCCGAACCCTTAACCTGTAACAACTGAACTAACCTATAATACAACTCTCTTGCATCACTAACCATCTTAGATCTACTCTTGAGCTTCTTTTTCAAATGAGCAATGTAGTCTTGTAGACTCGTCAGTCTAAGAGGCATAGAAGCAGTTCTATCAAGTTGTTCAGCTAGCTTCTCCTTATTCTTGATCAATTCCACATTCTCAGACTTAATCTGTTGATTCTCTAACTTAAGCTCCTCAATCTGAGATACCAAATTTTTCTCTCTCTCTTTCCAAGCATCACAAGCAGCAAGACGAGCCTCTGAATTAACTTTTTCAAAAGCTTTAAATTTGGATTGAAAATTTGGGAATAACTGGCTACAAAAAATATACTCGATCTGAGAAATTCGATCCTTGGCTTCTTGAATTGTAGCAACCATTATGGTACTGAGACCAGAAATGTACTTGGCTTCGATACCATCAAAAGTTTCATCTCCCATCTTCAAGCTGTAATCAGAACAAATGGATTCAATTAGGGTTTTTACTGAATTCAACGATTCAATAACTGGGTTTTCTGCTAACTAAACATTACAATAAATTTCGATTTCTGAAAATTTGATCCCGATTCATTTCTTCTACAAATCAAGTGGATCTAGTTTTGAGATCTCTATAATAACAACTTTCGAGAAAAAATGAATAGAAGGAAACTTACATTTGGAAACGAAACGACCTCGAGGAAGATCGATCGAAGAAAATTGATTGATTCGGGAGATGAAAGCAAGAAGACTAATTTGGAATTGAGTATCTTCTACAAATTGTTTAGATTGTGGCGGTCTCTTTCCCTCCACAATTTCGGAATTTTCGCGCGTTGAGAAACTACTTATAAATTTCAAGTTTCAGTGGAGGCTTACCCGACAAGCTTTTGCTGGGAGACCCGACCCGGTTTCAAGTTGGGCCTTAAAAGTTGTTGGAGCGGATAACTCGCAAACCTGAAAGCGTGTGCTTTTTATTCTTTTTTTTACGTTGTCGGCAACTGATTTATACTTAGTAAAATTATTTTCTTATAATTATTGTGAAATCTATGTAGACATCTTTGTTTTTTGTTTTATTTTTCTTAAAAATAAAATATTTTAATTACTCATGTGATAGTGAGACACATCTTTGTACCCACCAATTGTTTTTTAATTTAATCCAAATTTGACCCGGCCGGGCCGTTATGGCCCAATAAGCTCGTTTATGGCGCGAGAGGAAGAGACCATATAGGCCCATAATAGAGAAACTCATCCATTCCCACGTCTCGTTCTTCTTCCACGTGGATTGGCTAGTGTTATTAAATAAAGCTGCAACGGTAACAAGAGAAAGCCACGTGTCCACATGGCCCTGTAACGTTCACTACAACGGTTACATTGTTCTTCTCCTTTTCCTTTTTCTCTCCAACCAACAACTCCATTCTCTCTCTCTCTGTGTATTCTTCTCTAATGGAGCCTGCTCATATCGATTGGAAGAGAATCGATTCTCGTTTTGTTGAAGACGTTTTCTACGAACACATCAGAGCTCCTAAATGGTTCGATTTCTTGGCCCCTACCCATTTTGACTCCATTGACGACGATGCTTGGTTCTGCAAACCTGGTAATCAAGAAACTCTCTCTCTCTCTCTCTCTCTCTTTCTCTTCCTTTTCTACTTCTATCTCTGCTTCTCTTTGATCATTCTTTACTGATTCTGGTTTTTTTTTTTTTATCTCAACTCAAGAATGTAATCATCCCAAGAGACCCGAGGACTTTTTCTCAACGCCAACTTCTTCCAAGGTTTGCTTCTCCTCTCTTCTTTACTTTCTTGTTTCCTCATAAAGATATGAAATTACAGTTTCTTGGCAAGCCCAAAGGTTTCACCTTTAATAACTTCCTGCGTTTCTGTTTTTGAAGCATCCAAGTCTGCGGGATACGAATGAGACTCTAACAGAGCAGAATCAGAGGTACAATGAGAGATTCTCTTTAAATCTCTACTTGATATCTTAAATTTTTAATGTTTTGCTATAGCCTTTGAATGCTTTTTGGTTCACACTCTGTTTCAATTTACTTGTAGGAGGAGGGGATATGCTTTATCACCTTCTACTCCAAACAACCAAGAAAGTGAAAACCAGAATCCAAACTTAGCCACACCTCCAAGTTACCAAGCAAAATCCTGGAAAGCAGCAATCAAATCAAGTTCTGTCAAGAAGATGAATAAAGAAGCACCAAGACTAAAGAGCACACAATCAGCTAGAAATCTGTTTTCCGGGAGAGACATATTTGGTCATATCTCAGATTTCTGCTATGAATTGAAGAGATTAGCCACAAGGGTGACTGAGAGAGAAGATACTGGGAAGTCTGAAGTGAAGGAGAGTCATCAAGTGAGTGGATTAATAAACCAGCCTTACTCTGTTCATGACTTGGAATTGAAAAAGGAAAGAAAGCCATTGCTTGAAGTAAGCAAAGATAAGCTCCCCGAGTCCACGGATGTTAAAGGAAGTACCTTTAAAGAGAACCGTAGAAGAAAGAAGTAAGTTTTGTCATTTTGCAGTAAAATTGTGTTATGCAGAACCAACACAGAAGTGAGTTTAGTACTAAACTTTTAATGATGATTTGCAGGAGAGTGGATGATGCGGAGAACATTCCTGTCTCAGTTAATGTGGAGACTGTAAAGAACAAAGGAGAGGAGGGTAGAAGAAAGAAGTAAGTTTTGCTTCTCCATTAACTTTCTTTATAGGATTTGAGCCTAAAATATGCATACAATTGATGAGTTTAGTAAATAAAGTACTAAACTTTGGATTGTGTGAGGTTTTTTTAGGAGAATGGATGATGCAGAGAACATCCCTGCTCCTCTAAAACTGGAGACTGTGAAGAACAAAGGACACGAACGATTCCTGCAGCAAATCAGGACAAATCCACCATCTCCTCAATGCTTCTCAGAGAACCGGACAGCTACATTGAAACCCTTGAGGACCAAACCTACGGTATGTAATCAACCCTTTCCTTTTCCATGCTAAAAACAGACACATACGAGCTTAAAAGTCTAACTCTTTTAGTCAAATCCTGCAATACCAATAAAAGAAAAAAGAACAACAACATAAAGATGGGTGTTTTTTTTGGTGTGTACACAGGAAGTATTGAAGAGAAAGGAAGATGAAGCTGAAGAAGAGAAGATCAGGAAGAGTGGAGAAGGCAGAGAAGGAAGGGGCTTGGACGTTCTCTGGTTCTTAAAGCCTTGCACTTTAGCCAACTAAAAAAAGCTCTAAATTTCACCAAATTCTTTCTATATTGATTCATTCTTTTGTTCATTTCATTTTATTCAACTCTAACTAACGAGATGATGATCTTGCTCAGATATATAATTCTGGGCAAATTTGATTCAATCTCTTACTTTTACACATACAACGATTTGTTTAAATAAAGATAAGATTAGAACAAAAAAGAGGATTCAGATCCATCTCTAATCATTTATTAAGATCAACAACAACAGAACAAAAACCAAAAACCTAAATCTCAAATTGAAAACATATATGTGATCAAGGGAAATTGAGGGAAAACATATCTACAAGGAGAAGAAAGACGAAAATAATTTTAAGAAGAGAGAGGAGGACGTGAAGAGGAGAAGAAGCAATCGAGAAGCCTAGACCAAGCAATTCTGGCTCGAGGAAAAAGTCTCCGGCTGTAAACCCTACCTTCCATTCCCATCTCCTCCATCGTCTCCACAAACACCGTCAAACATCTAACCGGCGGTATGTACAACGTTAACGGCGCCGCCGAGAACGCTATCGTGAAAAACAGCTGTAACATTTTTTCTTCTCTCTGTTTTTTTTTTTTGGTTGTTTCAGGGGAAAACGCAGATCGTGATTTTTATTTAATTTTGCTTTTTTTTGGGTTATTATTATTACAAGTACGAGTACCTAACAAAAATTGAAATAACGTAAGATGATTCGATTAGTGAAGAAGAGATAAGAAGATTGGTTTCATTATCACGTGTTACCCTTAATTCCACAACTCCCAAACTCAAATTTTAACTTTATGTTATCACTCATATGATTCTTACCATTTCTAGCATCTACTGCTATATTCTTTCCGTTCCTAAAAATTTGATATTCTAGTGTTTTAGATTTGTTCCACAAAAATTGATTTTTTACATTTTTCTTTATTATTAATTAATTGATATTAATAAATCGTAGATTTCAAGACGTAATGATTAACTGTTTTAGATTACTATTGGTTCATAGTTTATTAAAAAATGTTTAATAAAAATAAATAATTAATCAATGATTGTTTCTTAAAATATGTGAAATCTCTAGAAAATCAATCTTCTAGGAACAGAGGGAATATTTTTGTAAACCGACACTTTTTAATTCCTAGTTCCGTATTTATTTCTCATCAAATAGATGTTTTTTTTGGTGTAAAAAATTGGTAATTCTTATCCGCAGGGGGGTCCTACGTCATGTCTGTTGACGCGTGGCAATTACATCATGTGATGCTGTTTGGTTGACTTTACAAATCAATGGTTCAAAAATATTACATTTCAATAAACTTTCAAATGCCTATTTGATTGAATCCATTCTTCTAAATTTTTTGTTCAATCTTTTACAATTTTAAACATCTTATTTCCCTCAGCAGGTATCTCTTCTTTTATACTTGTTCCCAGGTAAAAAAGAAGCTAATCAAGTTACATACAAATTCTAAGAGTATAAAAGAAGAAGTAGAAGCTCATGTTGTTTCTAAATGTGGATGGATACTCAAGAATAGATAGCCTCACGTTCTTGTTCTCTTTTGCTTCTGAGGAACAAATCGAACCCCTTGCTTTCCAAGCTCGACCGTCTTCACTTTTCCATTCTCCAGCGTCACCATCAACTTCGATGTGCCCCCTCCTCCTCCTACTTCACTTACAACTCCTTTCTCCCTGTTTTTTTTGGTTCCTCATTTGTTAGGAACTTGGAATAATTTAAGATGTTCAATAGCAAAAACAAAACAAAAAAAACTCATATACCATGAATCATCCGAGGCCTCATGTATTTGAACCTTTTTTCCTTTCGCATCTTTCCCCAACTTCTTCAGAATCCAACTAGCATCAAGCATTTCGTCTAACAAACTGTCTTCACGTGACAGTGATACATCTTCATCTTCATTGAACGCTGACTTTTCAGCTGGAGGTGATGCTCTTTTCCTCTTAGACCTATGTCCTTTACCAGACTTACCTCTTTCATATACAATGCTAGGGGTTTCACCTTCTTGGCTCTCAGGATTATGTTTTTTTATTCTAAGTTTCAGCAATCGCCTTGAATCTTTCTGCATTGAATCATGCGAGCCACTATTTAAATCTCCTTTACCATCTGAGTGTCTTCCTATGAATCCGCCCTCAGCCTTTGAAGTGGTTACTTCACCTCGAGACCCTCTCTTTTCGTCATTATTCTTCCCCAGCAAGCTGCGATGCTGTTCTCGGGAAAACGTTTCCTCTGATTGCAATTTTTCTTGCTTTCCTGAAATTTACCAAAGCTCTTTATTATTATGCTAATCTTTCTCATATAAATTTAGTGAACATACATCAATGACAATACACCTACCATTGGATTTGGAGGTAAGCTTTGATACATCGCAGCTCGTAGAGTTTGTAACCCCCGTCTTTCGAGGACCTATACTTATCACCAATTTTTTCGCCTTCACAGTGTTCAGCTCTGTACTGTGTTTTCCAAATTTCTCACTATCTGAATCTTGAGTCCTGCTACTTTTTATCCTGAGAACTCTCAATGGCTTCTCTTCTTCACCATTGACCATAGCCTTTTCAGAAACTTTTCTTTCCACAGAGCCAGGCTGATTCACAAGAGGGGCACCACCAGTTTGCCCAACAACCCGAGCACTAGCTTTCAGGCTAGCAATTAGATCTTTATCAGCTATATCTTTTCGCTTCCAAATTTCTTGTACAGCATCCTCAAGATCCTTGACCTGGCATCATAGACACAAATCAGAGAGAGAAAATGGGATCACCAAATTGTCATTTACAGCAATCAACTAGAGCCTTGCTGATTGCTGATAAAGATCTAATTGCTAGCCTGAAAGCTAGGGCTCGGGTTGTAGAACATAAGACACCAAAAAAGACCAAGGACGCACTAAACACACCTGGTAGCATTCCCCACGACAAGTAGAACATTTGTATTGAAGATTCCCATCCACTTGAAACTGCATATATTTCTCATCGCTGCAATGGTTGTTTACAAAGTTAGCGTTTTTTAAAATAGATACAGACTTGGGAGAGATGCTTACAGGACACAAAAGCACAATTTCTTAACGATATGTACCTAATTCCATCACAGTGGCAATGAACCCAGCGCTGGCAAAAGTCACAACACACCATTGGTGTTGCTTCTGAGTCCCTGTAAACCTACATGATGAATACAAAATAAATCGTCAATTCAATCTTAAGTACGAAAATGCTGCATATAACTGCTTTTGCAATACAGACGTCTGTATAGGGTAACAACTCTAAAATACATGAACCTCAAACTATGAACTATGTCAAAGCATAACTAGATAAGATGCATGGAAACAGAGCACACGCTTTGCTATCAACAAGGAGGAGAATATGAAAATATACCTTCAAACATACAGGACAATAATTTCCCTTAACAAACAACCTTCCACAAGCATCACAACAAGTATGCCCCAAAAACCACCTGCAGATTTTAGAAGAAATTATAAGAGATAGTGCACTATACATAAATCAATTAAAAGCATGCATCACAAAGCAAAAAGTTTAATACCGTAAGCTCTGGCCATTCCCAGGGACTGTAGACCCACAGCTGTAACATTTGGTGTGCTTAGGACACAAATAGGGTCCAGAACTAACATTCTGTAACATGCAGAGATGAAAATAAACCAATTTGTAAAAGATAAGATAAGAACCTTATATAGAAGCAACAGATACTATACCTTGTGCCGAGGTTGTTGGCAATCACAATGATATGCATCATCACATCTTTTGCAGAACATAAACTTCTTTGGATCTCCTAAAGTCCCGCAGCCCTAAAGGAAACATGATCAAAAGAATGTGAATAATCAAGTGGCAGTCAAACCAATTAATCAAAATGTTTGAAATCAATTTCTTTGAGATATATCAGAATTCTCATTAAAAGGGAAATTAAAAAAAAAAGCAGGTACATACCTCACAGATTCGGCAAGAGGGGCACGCCCAAGAACTCCAGTTAAACAGATCTGCTAGCAAAAACCGCTATAAGAATCTAGGCAAAAAGACTCGTAAACATTACATTCCTAAGAAACGATACCTCTATGTTGAGCCCAAGACTTCAAGCAGTTTCTATGATACTTCTTGCCACAACATTTGCAAGAAAGCATTTTAGCTCTCTCACTTTTCCCAACTTCAACCAAATAGCACATGTGACATGTTATGCTTGAACTGTGATGATCATGATCTTCTCCATTGAGCTCTTTGACAGAAACCTAAATAGAGAAAGACATAACATTGAATTCGTTTCTTGAAGAGAATAGACATCATTATAAAGAGTTTACATAAATCCCAGTATCATGGATTAAAGAACCTAAAAAGACAGGACAACACCAAAACACATACACGAGAAACAGATAATCAACATCACTGACAACACGGTTCTCTCACAAAGACAGGTTGCGATACACAAAATGCTGACATAAACCGTTCCACTGCATTATCAAACAAAGGCCTACCCATATACATGTGCAACTAGCAAGTCTATAGCCTATCTGAACGAACTCGATAGAATTCTCAAGCTATCCACACACTTGTTCAATTCAATTGACATAACAGTAACCACACAAACAAGTTTCGAAAGGTAAAAAATCGAACCTCTAAGTCGCCAGAACCATCATTCACAGCATAATCTTCCAGTACCTTCTTCTGCAACACCACCGTACGTTTAGCTGGTACCAAATTCGATGATGCAGCAAAAACCTCCATCGCAGAATCACTCCCAATACCAACATTTCTAGCCGCAATGCGAGGACCCGTATCGAAAACAGCGAGCTTAGGCACATGGATCTGAACGGTACCGTCCTTGGAAACCTCAGCATTCCAGGGATTTAGCAAGCACTCTTCAAGAGAATGGATCCGGTTGAGAAACACATCCTTGACTTCTTTACCATGAAGATTCCGAGGAAACCCCAAAACGCAGAAACAAATTTTCCGGCTGCGAAGAAAGAAAGAAAAGAAGAAAACCCCAAATTAAAACAATTCGATAAGTAAAAAAAAACAAACAAAGCCGAAGAGTATAGAGGAGGCGCCAAAAGAAAAGAAAAAAAAGATTTGAGAAGAGGAAAAAAAACATACCATGTAATTGGACAAGCTACGTGAAAGGCCATAGTCGGTTTTCAAGTTTTACGCGTTCGGGTTCGATTTTTTAGGGATCTGACTTCTTAATTTTTATTTTGCTGAATTTTTTTGGTAGGTTTCTCTCCCCCAATTAAATCACTCGCTCTTTATTGTGTAAATAACCTAAACCTAGAGGTCCTTAAACGGAAATATTTTAAGACTCGTGTGAGTTTTATCGGCCCGATCCGACCCAAACGCTCTACACCAATAACAATACAACACGTGGATAAACCATTTTTCTTCTTTTTAAGATGAAACGACGTCGTAAGATTTATTTTTGTTGGCCAGAAAGAAACTGAAGAGCCCCTTGACTGTCTTCTGCGGCGAAAAAGAGAGCGAAGCTTGAAATCTCCGATTAAGCCATGAATGCTCCAGACCGATACGAGCGATTCGTCGTCCCTGAAGGAACCAAGAAGTAATTGAAGTCTTTACTCTATAACCCTTTCATCTTTGGGTTTTACTGTGCTAAATCGTCTCGATTTTTTCTCTATGTTCTAGGGTTTCTTATGATAGGGATACGAAGATCATCAATGCCGCTTCCTTCACGATTGAGAGAGAAGACCATACGATTGGAAACATTGTTCGCATGTAAGTTTTTGTTAATTTTGCAGCTCTTTGCTTAGAAGAAAGAAAGCTCTAATTTTTTGTCAGCTTTGTTCTGAATTTTTTGGTTTTAGGCAACTTCACCGTGACGAGAATGTCTTGTTTGCTGGATATCAACTTCCTCATCCTCTCAAGTACAAAATCATAGTGAGGGTAAGTTCAATTTATTGGTTTAAGCTTCAGGTGTTAACAGTTTGCTTTGGGTGCATTGTTTTCTGACTAGTGTTAGGAGTGGGTTTACTGGTTGCTTAATGACTTATACAAAGATCTTGTATGTTGTTGTTTAAATGTGAAAGTGGTTCTGTTTGTAGATTCACACAACAAGCCAGTCTTCCCCAATGCAAGCATACAACCAGGCCATCAATGATCTGGACAAGGAGCTCGATTATTTGAAGAACCAGTTTGAGGTACATTGATTTCTCTCTTCACAGTTCTGATCGAAGATTATTGTTTTGAACCTACTTATTTGTTTATGTGGTTAATTAGCTAGATGAATATCAAATGCTATTGATGTACCTGGTCTTATGGTATACCCTTCTGTGTTTTCAGGCTGAGGTGGCCAAGTTTTCCAATCAGTTTTAAGGAAGGAGTCCTCCATCAGCACATCGGGAAAAACGATTTGCATTGTCTTTCGCTAAGCACCAACCACAAGACTTATTATGAGCTTGTGAAATTTTCCCCAGTTATGCTTTGTATAAATCAGAAACAGATCGCCCTGTAACTTGTTTTCACTCTTATGTTTCAACACCATTTGAGGATGCTATGAAGTAATGCTTAGGTTACCTCTTGTTTTTACCACTCTATCTACATAAACCACTTAATGTTTGAACTATTGTACAAATTCTCTTTTAAGAGCTGCGATGGTGAAGCTACTACTCTTCCCAAGCTACTAAGTAAGTGCATTTGTACAGATATTCACAGGATGGTGAAATCATCATGAAGCCCTTCTAGCTGACCCCGAGTGCGCTGCTGCTGAATGATTAACATCGATGTGTTGTGTGAGAAATCTGATCCAGAAAGAACGTCACCTATGGGACCAAGCTCTGGACATTGCTGCCAGTCGTTGAGGCCAGTGGTTAACCCACTGCTCGCTCTTCCCCCTCCTCTTCCTACAATCACCAGCCCATACTCTCCATCTAGTGATTTAAGTGCTGTGAAAGTCTCAGAGGAGTTGGTGAGATGCTTCTCCATGTAAGACACTCTTCCACCTCCAGCTATGTATCTTTCATAAAACTCAGCAAAACATTCATCATCAAGCTTCATTTCCTCCTCTTGCTCTACCACACTCGCTCTGTTCAGGATACTGCTTCGTTTTTGTGCGTTCTGCGAGCTCTTGTCTTCCAAGAAACGTATAACCTTTAATTTCACAGCAGGATGTCGAGCCACTTGTGCTGCGAAAGCTAGTGCCTCTCGGTCGTCTCTGCCACCTATGAATATTATAGCAATGTCCATGGACGCTCCTGGTCTCCATGCCTCTTCTGTTTGCCCGAAGGACCTATCCACAAGAATTCCCACCGAACATGGTGCGTTCTTCAGAATCTGCACATGCAAAATGCCAAATTATCTCTCTGATTATTTAGTGACTGGAACTGAAAGAAACAGAGTATTACTTAGATGGAACAATTACCTTGCGGTTCACATGACGGAACCCGGCATGGCCAGAATCAAGAGTGCCATCAGGATTCAGCCGTTTATGGAATGGTAGAATTATAATGGAAACCATAAGTTCATCAGCCAAACCACAGATGTCTTGCGCCATGGTCACAAACGTGGACAAAGCCAACATCCGCCTCACTGTCACACCTTGGCCGTTACGGAGCTCTCCATACCCATTCACAGCTGCCGTAATACTCTCTCTCATTTCCGTCACTGACCTATCCGTTATCGTCACTGAATCATTACTCTGATCCGCTCCTCCGCCCTTTTTCAGTGTGGCTGCAATCTCATCAGTCAACTCCACCATGTCAGTCGCATAGAATATGGATCCTGGCTCACGTCCACCATGGCAGATCTCCATAAGGTTGAGCGTGGAACCGATGTTGTGGGGACCGTGGAGACCGATCAAGATACGAAGTTCAGTTGTTGGATCGAGCCACTGAAGTGCCATGATGTGCACTGGCACTCGCTTTCTAGCGCGTTTGATGATGTCCATGACCACGAAAGGGGAGTAGACAACCGTTAGAACAATAACAAAAATGATCATTGCACCGGTTGTATTTTTCACCCTGTTTGTCTGCATTTGCATCAAACCAAAAGACAGAGAGTAAAGATCTTGTTTTGATGATAGCTTGAAAAACAAAAAAAAAAGGAGAACGCTTGATGGTACCCGAATGGCTAAGGCTGCCAAGTATACATGAAAATGGCCTTTAGCGGTCAAAAGCAGTCCTAAGGATGCGGTTTCCGGGACATGATAACCGAGTAGTAAACCACACAGGACTGTTCCGGTGACTTTTCCGACTATGACAGTGCCGAGAAGAGCAAAGAACCTTGCCCACGCCATTTTGTCAGTGATGTCAAAGTTTCTCATGTGGATTATAAATCCAACCCAGAAGAAGAAGATAGGGTAGAAGACCGTGCTGAGCAAGTAATTAATTTTGTTGATGATCCATTTGGACATTCTTCCTTTGTTTGGAAGGAAAAGACCAGCCGTGAAGGCGCTGAGAATTGGGTTGTACATTGATTCAGGTGGCCAGGTTGGAAAACTACAGATCAAGACAACAAATGCGAGTGACATAACGAGGTGAGATCCCTTGAGTGGCTTGCCTTCAGGGTTCTCGTTGTTGACCCAATTAAGAAAGATTGGGGATACGATGGAAGTGAAAGTGACCTGAGCGAGGAAGAGGCAAAACATGAGGAGGGCTCTGAAGAATCTGTGAAGAGGACGAGCGAGAGGTTTCTCTGTAGGAAAGAAAATGAAGCCGAAGCAGTAAAACAAGGTAGAGATCATATCCGTATGAACACCTGCGGCTGATGCAAGTTTTCCAAGATCGGATTTTCTGATCTTGAGATTGGCGATGACGCGGGTTAGGATGGGGGAACCGGTACTTGAAGCCATGAGGGAGAGGGCGAGGGAGAAAATGTAAGGAGCGGTTTTGGTATAGTGGAGGAAAGGAGTTGTGACAAAGGCGAGAACAAAGGTCGTAATCATGCTTGTGTATGCTATGAATGCGTCTTTGGTTGGTGGTCTGAGAAGGACGCTTGGATTCATCTCTAGACCCATCACAAACATATGGCAGATCATACCGAATTCGATGATGTTGTTGAGGGTTATAGAGTAAGGCCCCGAGAATGCCTCTCGAAACTTGGGAAGGTTACCTAGAATTAGCCCTATCTGATGCATACAAAAATTGAGTTAATATAGAAATCAAAAGAGATAGACGAAGAACAAAAAGAGATTTGACGTACAGCAAAGTCGGTGGTGAGGTAAGGTTGGCCTAGAGGCTTCATGAGATGATGGAGGAGAGTTCGGATGACGAAAATGGCAATGAATCCAAGAATCTTCAATGCCTCTTCAGGCTTGTCTAGGTTAAGGTACCATTTGTCTCCACAAACGTTTTTTGTTGTAGTTGTATTCATTTTTCTCTCCCTGTAGTTGCCTTATTCGTTCGAAGGGCTTATTGTTGTTTCTTGGAGATGAAGAAAATCTTTATGATTTTTGTTTTTTTTTTCTTCTGAGTTTACAATTTGGTTTAGGGGTTTGAAAATGAAAGGATGTGATTGTTTTTACTCAGAAAATGGTGGAGACACTTGTGGATCCCTTTATTCACGTTCCCTCTCTACCCATTATTCACCATTGACCATTCATGAAACAAAGATGACAAGTTAAGACAAAATGTAAAATACACTAGTTTACATTTAATTACAATTAATGTTCTAACGATATACAGTAGTAGTAATCTTTATATAACATGAAAACGTAAAATGTTTGTATACTGATGGACATTCAATTTTAGTCTGAGATCTATTTTTGACTGCTGTTTTCTCTTTTAGAAGTTTCGGAGTTGACTGGAACTTTAAGAATTTGTTCGTCTAGGTTCCACTTTTTCTCTTCATGACTTGGAACAATTTTTAGTTTTTTGTTAGAAGACTTTTAACACTTATTATACAGATTATTTATTGCGAATATTTATTTTATCCAAAAATGCAAAATGTAAGTTCTCCGCTCAAAATGCAAAATGTGTTTGTGTGTGATTATCATGGATAATCTAGGGGAATCCGACTTAACTTATTCCCCAGATATTACTATATGATGAATTAGATTGTATCGAGAAAATGACACAATCTCTTTTCAGAGGTCACGGTTCCGAACCATCCGAGTACCTACCTCAACAAGCTTCTGTAAGTACCCTTAGCTTTCTGCTAATCAGATTCTGATTTTTATAGCACTTATTGGTGCTACTGGTTTATCTTCCCTTTGTACCTGAGTCTCGTGACTGAGTTTAGAAAATTGGTTAGTTGTAATTCTTACCCTTGATATGAAATTGGAATTGTCGTGCTATTAGGGGTTGTTATTCACGTAGAAGCGGGTTCAAATGTGGTATAAGTTTGGTGAGCTTTCAGTTATTGATAAAACAATTGCTTTGAAGTGTTTCCTTCTGAGTGTAATGGTTAACCCAACATCTCCTGGATAGAATCTTCTTCAAGCTTATCCCTTTATTTCAATTTTTCTATTGGCATTTGGCCATATAGGGCACGATACGGCATAGACCAAACACAGACATCATAAATTTGAAGATACATGGCATGAGCAGCAACCTATTGAATTGGTTCTAGGAAAAGGTATGGGGCTGTTGTGTTTTTACACTAAATCTTTCTTCCCGTTGGATGCATCACCATATTAGTAAATTGTTGAGTCAGCTAGCGTTTCATGTGAACCAAATGAAAAAGGATATTAGGAGGAAAGAAATCGAGTTTCCCTTTTTTTTTTTTTTTGCTTTAAAGCTGATTCCCGCATGTTTATGTTAGTATAGAAAGCTATAAACACGATTAAGCGCTAAGGAGTGAAACGTTGTCTATGAACAGAGAAACAAGTAATGGCCCGTTTAGCTAGCTATTGCTGTTTCTAGCATGAAATCTGGTGAACGTGCGCTCTTGCATGTTTGCTGGGGATTGGCATATAAGAAAGATGGAAACTTTTCTTTTTCCCAATGTTCCACCTATGGCGGACTTGTTAGATGAGGTTGAACTTCAACCGTTGAAGTTACTGGATTTGATGAAACAAAGGAGGCAAGTTTTTTTCAGCTTCAATATTGGATGGGGTTTTATGTTTCAGCTGTATGGGAACTTGGGAAGTACCAGGATGGATATGGCTTTGGCAGGTAAGAACTCATGGCAGCTTGCCTCATCAAGCTGAAACGATACTGTGAGACCCATCAAGGCATTCATTGGAAGAGATATCATTAATTATCATACTCAGTTTCTCGAAATCTAAGCAAATTGTAAACCCTGTTAGGAGTTTGACAAAAGAAGAGAAAATCCAAAGGCGCTGCTAAGAAGAGGGAAGGTAAAGGCAGAGCTAGGACAGATGGAATCAGCTCGTCATGATTGAGAAAAGATCAAATCAGCAATTCAACCATAAAAGACCAAAGTGAGAAAGATCACAACTCTCAATTCTCCTATGTTGGAATTGAATTTTATTGCTGATTTGTGCAGAATTTACAAAAGCTATCGTTGCTACTACCATGAAGGATTGGGGAAGCTGAGATGTTGCCAAGCGAAGTAAGCACAAACCAATAGTTGAGAGATATAAACATAAACAGCAAAAGAGAGACTCATAAGCATCAAATCCTTCACGTCTCCTTTCTTCTTCTCTGGCTTCAGATTCTTCCCAATTTTCCCAGCCTCTGAAATCATCCTCCTCAATGTTCTCTGGATCACTCCTTCATTCTCTTCCGGTAATTTCTGCTTCCGACAAGACATCACTCTCATAGATTTAACGCCGTGTCTGCTTGAGGCTTGTCTCTTTGTACGGTGGTTAGTGCAGAGTGGGTGGTAGAAGGTGGTTGAGAGAGCCGCCATGAGAAGATGAATTGAAGAAAGTTTTTTGTTTTGGGAATCAAAAGTGAGCAGAAAAATATCAGAATCTTGATAGCATGACGACAAAATAATTGGGTGGATAGATCTCATCTAACACACACACATGTTCACAGACTCACGGTTAGGCCAAGCCAGAACCAAATTGGCCAAATTTCAGTTCGGTTCGTTTCGATTTGTAACCGAAAACCGATCGCCTATGAATTTTCCTAAACCCGAAACCTTTGATCTGAACCGATTCAAAGTTTCTGAATGGCCAGGTATAGTCGGAAGCATCTAATCCAACCCATTTTCTCTATTCACATAACACATTATATGTATGACTCTTGTGTGAGATAAACGATGACTCAGTGGATAAGCAAAGAATAAAATAATTTTAAAAAAGTCAAGAACATGTCTCTGTGACTCTATCTCTATCCTATTATTAGATTTAATCAGATAACTTTAAAATTGGTTGCTGAAAAAACCGTATCTCATTATTTAAATAGAAAGAGAAGAGCCCCACGTATAACAAATAGCGATAGAGCAACTGTGTCGATTGTCCCACATATTTTAAAATATTTCACGTGTCCCCATTTTGCTGACGTCATTATTCTCCCTTTTTCCTTTTTATTGTCACATCATAATTTTTTTCTAATAATTCATTCATCAATCATCTTCTTCTTCTTCTTTCTTCAATCATCTTCTTCCTCTGAGAAATTCTGTGTTGTTGTTTCAGAGATGTTCTCTTCTTCTACACTCGTTTATTCTCTATCTCTCTTCCTCTCTCTTTCTCTTCTCTTCTTCCTCTCACCACACATCCTTCTCTCTTCCTCTAACCTCATTTCCACCGCCGATGACCTAGACGACCTCTCTCTCTTCCACCGCGCCGCCGTCTCATCCTCCACCAACAACCGCCGTCTCATCTCCCTCTCTCCAAATCCTCCCCCGAAGATCGCTTTCCTCTTCCTAACAAACTCCGATCTAACCTTCTTACCTCTCTGGAAAAGCTTCTTCCAAGGTCACCAAGATCTCTACAACGTTTACATCCACGCAGATCCTACCTCCTCCGTATCTCCGCTTCTCGATTCATCGTCAATCAACGCTAAATTCATCCCGGCGAAAAGAACCGCACGAGCTTCTCCGACGCTAATCTCCGCCGAACGACGATTACTAGCAAACGCAATCCTCGACGATCCTAACAATCTCTATTTCGCTTTAATCTCACAACACTGCATCCCTCTCCATTCCTTCTCTTACATCCACAACCACCTCTTCTCCACCAACTCCGATCATCACCAAAGCTTCATCGAGATCCTCTCCGATGAACCTTTTCTTCCGAAACGATACAACGCGAGAGGCGACGACGCGATGCTTCCGGAGATCCGGTACCAAGACTTCCGTGTTGGATCTCAGTTCTTCGTTTTAGCGAAACGTCATGCTCTAATGGTGATCAAAGAGAGAAAACTATGGAGGAAATTCAAATTACCATGCCTTGATGTTGAATCTTGTTACCCTGAAGAACATTATTTTCCGACTTTGTTGTCTCTTGAGGATCCTGAAGGATGTAGTCACTTCACACTCACACGTGTTAATTGGACCGGTAGTGTTGGTGGTCATCCTCACACGTACGATGCCTCTGAGGTCTCGCCGCAGCTGATTCACTCGCTGCGGAGATCTAACTCAAGTTTAGACTATGTCTTCGCCAGAAAATTCACGCCGGAGTCATTGCAACCGCTTATGGAGATTGCAGATACTGTGATCTTTAGGGATTGAATCGGTGAAAGTAAATTAGGTAAAACACTGAAATCTGAATCTGAATGTGTATGTATGAATTCAGTTTGAGAGTTTGGTCAAATGGCTTATCTTTATTGTTATTGTGTTGTGTTTCAGGTTTCAGGTATCATCATCATCAAGAAGGTTTAGGAAGAAGTTTGTATTGGCGCTCGAAGAAGAGTGGCAAATAAAAGATGAAACTCTGTGTGTGTTTGTTTTCAATGACCCTTATAAATGTGAAAAGGGTTGTGTGAAAATTGCTGTGTTTTTTAAGCTTTTGTGTGTCTTTTAGGGAAGGTTAGATGGAAGTTGGATGTAAAAAAAAATGTAAATAGAGAGAGCCCCAAAGGCAAAGTGAGAGCATCATCATTAAGGTAAGCCAAATAGGCTTTCTTTTGTATTTCAGCTCCTTTCCACGGGAGAGAGAGGGAATGGCAAAAGGTTATTCCCTCTCTTTTGTTTCGATTAAGTGTGAATGAAAAAATCTTTGGTATTTCAAGTGTTTTTACTTTGATGAATTATCAATCGCAAAGTAACAATAGTGAGAGATGCACCAAGTTATGGTGATATGTAAGATTAAGAAATGCAACAATAGTGAAATACGCCGTTGTTTTGCTTAATGAATCATCTAAGTCCAGCCCATTGATTGTGGACTAGATGGCTTATTGTTATTGTGTCGGTCAGATTGTGTTTATGTGATTTTATCTCTTTAGATATTTGAGGAAAAAAAAATCTCTTTAGATATTATTGGTTGATGAAAGCACTCGATTAATTGAAAATTACTGGTTGAGAAAAGGATTAGATTATAGAAAGCTTTTTATTTGTTTCTTTTTTTTTTTTAATATAAGAGATTTGTGTATATATCTCCTTTTTCAATATACTAATCTAGAAAAAATGAAATACGGTACTAAATTATAGGTTCCTAAACACATAAGGATTAGGTGTCGTAAAACTTGTATATAAGGAGAGCTAGGGCTCTTCTTTCTTACTCGTACAATCATCAACACCGCTCAAAATACTCGCTCTCTCTCTCTTTCTTTTCATCGAGTTCAACATCTTTCTTCTTTTGTGATATTTGTTGTTCGTATCTAATCGATAATGGCAACAACATCTAAGATCCTCGGCGTGCTCATGATGACAACCTTCATCACGGTTCTCTTGGGTTGCTGCTGCTCGGCGACAATCTACAAAGTGGGAGATGATTTCAGTGGATGGACCGCAAAGGATCACACGTACTACGACTGGGCCAAGCATAAGGAGTTCCACGTCGGCGATTCTCTCGTCTTCCAATACAATCCTAACTTCAACGACGTCACTGAAGCCTCCGGCGCTTTGGAATTTGAGTTCTGTGATTCTTCCTCTCCTAAAGCAGTCTACAACACAGGAAACGATGTGGTAACCCTCACGGAACCAGGATACCACTACTTCATCACGTCAAACCATGGTCAATGCGTAGCAGGACAGAGATTCGGCGTTCTCGTCGTCCATGATCTGTCACGTCCGATTCCTCCACCACCACCCAGCAATGCTAATATACCTTTTGGAAAATTTTACAAAGTTGGTGGTGACTCCAATGGATGGAGTGTTCATGAAGAAACCGACTACTATTACAATTGGAGCGTGGATAAACAGTTTCAAGTGGGAGACAATCTTGTTTTTGAATACGACATCGAAGACAACGTAGACGTCTTAGAAATCAGCGGTCATCTTGAATTCAAATATTGCGACCCGACTTCTCCAGTAGCGGTGCACAAGACAGGCCTCGATATCGTCAGGCTCACCAAACCCGGAGTCCATTATTTCATCAGCTCAAAAACGGGTCATTGTGCTGCTGGACTTAAGCTTCGAGTAATGGTGTCACCAATACTCAGTGTGCCAAAGTTGTCACTTATAGACCGGCTCACAAGGTGGTAACACACTTTCAGAACCCATCATCACTAAGAACTTTCAGACCCATCATCAAAAGCATATGTTACCTTGGTTTGAGATCAGCCAATTAAGAAGTTTGTCTACTGATTCACGTACTAGTTTAGTACCTTGTCTCTTTCTCTTCATTGTTAATTTGTTTAGAATACTTTTTTAGTTCTTATTGTCTCTGATGTACCGTTCAAACATTATAATTCAGTAAAGACGAAATTTTACTTCAAAGTTATTAATTTACTATGATCATAGTCATAAGAATGCCTTAATACATTGAATGAGCTTCTTATCCAACATCCAAACGCTAAAACCCACAGAGCCTAAATGAAATGGCTAAAACAAGTGATATGGTTTTAATTAGAGCATCCGAGCTTATGAATGACGTTACTGCCTTAAAGAACCTCTGCTCAACATAATCGTATTTAAGTTGTGCTTGGGGTTATTATAATTTGTAAGGCGTGTGGTTCAAGTTGGTCACAATTGGTTGACCATTAGAACAATCAACAAAACTTCTAAATTAGTATCAACTTCATCATTCTCCCTTGTTTCAATAACAGCATGCTTTACAAAAGGATTGTGAAAGTGACTTAGCTTTAATATTTTGTAGCAGAACTCTCTAAACTTGAGCTTACTCTATTTTATGTACCCAATACAAAGAGACAAGGGTAAGAAAAAAGATGCATAAAAAATATCATCATGGCATTGCTTCCAGTTTTTCCCACAACCTGTAAGCTCTTCTGATGACTGGATCAGCTGAAAATCCTTCTGCATAATCCGCAATAGCGATCAACAGGCTACTCAATTTCTCCCCATTGTCCTGGACATTGCACAAATAATCCTCTGTTACTAATCTTTCTTTTTTTCAATTAGGATATTGTAGTAGATGTAATAATAATCACTTTTGACTAGATTATCGTCAAACGAACCTCTGGTTTCTTAAAAGTGAGATCTTTCGTGTCAAACGGTACAATGTAATCTGGGAGATCAGACCGTAACAGTGCCTGCCATTAACACAATTCATCATCCCTACCTTGTGAAATCAACAGCTGAATAATGAATGAAAGTACGAAACAAAACAGAAAAACCTACTAATTTCTTGCTAAGAATGGCTTGATCCGCACTAGCTATTAGAGACTGTTTCAAAGACAAGGAAGAGGGTAATATTACTCTTTGCATATCACAGAAGTACTAGCTTGCCTAGCCTATGCAACACCACTTCACTCACCTCCTTTATTTTTCCTTCCTTGATCTCATCCACAGACTGCAAGAGATTCTCCAACGAGCCTGATAATGCAATAAGAGTGATTAATAGGAAACATGGGGCGCAAATCAATGGAATCAAAGCATATAGCATGACTCTGTGACTACCAAATCTAGATATCAGTTCCACTGCGTGCACATTCCCAATGCCATCAACTCCTGCATAACACAAACATCATTAGATCACTTTAGCCTTTTTCTGTGTGCACTTTTGCTAAACATTTGTATTTAGCCAATTACACAAATGCAGCTATGAAAGGAATATTCCCAGAAAATAACAATTTCGTGAGGGGTAGAGGAACTGGTCTTAACCTGGAATATTATCAGACTTGTCTCCAGCAAGGGCGATTATATCAACAAATTGTGCTGGTTCCAAATTTCCGAACTTTTTAGCAAAATCTTCCATTCCAAAAGAAGCCATCCTGCCACAAGAAGCAGTAGCATTGACACAATTGAGTGGGAAAAAACATACAAGATAATCTAGAAAAAAACATACAAGATACAGAGCAACCATGGAATATCTGAAGGAAGATCTCAGCAAAATCTATCTTAACTACTTAAGAAAACCTCTCTAGTGTCTAGCAAGAGTATCATAATAGGCAAATTCTACGATGAGGCAATGATCCATCTAACATGAATTTCATACTCTGATCCGCGTGGTGTTAGTCGAAGAAGACGCAACGAGGGAGAAAGAATCTGAAAGAAGTCTTTGTCCGGAGAGACAACTCGGACCTGTATGGGGGGTAACAAACAAATGATCAATCCACTTCTAGGAAAAGGACAAATTGAACAGGCCCTGAGGCATTAAATAAGCAGTGAACACTTCTCGAATAGCTGAAAATGAGTACTTTGAAACCGGCACTAATGCTTCGCATAGCCAGTGTTCCAATAACATCATCAGCTTCTACACCTGGCACCTGTCTTCATGAAATTTCTGCCCATTAGTGAGAAACCATCACAATCAAAGGAAATAAGGCAATCATGTTTATGATTTACCTCTATAACCTTTATAGACATTGCCTTGATGGACGCTTTGAGATATTGAAGTCCTTGTACTATGGTATCAGGTGTGGGAGGACGATTACTTTTATAGGCAGGGTAGAGAGTATGACGGAAGTTCATGCCTGTAAAATTTATAACACAGAATAAAAGATAGGTTACTGATGAGATTACATAAAAATTATCCTTCACACTCTGCACAAAGAAAAGGGAGAATAATGTTGAGATTTAGAATGCAAAAAAGCCTAAAATTCAATATTATGAGAGCCAAGTGTTCCCATCACGTAAAAAGAGAGAGTATTGGATATGCATATCTATGTCAGCATGTACAGAACGGTAACAACAAAAGACTGCAGTATACTGGAGGGTCATCATTGGAGATGACCTAAGTCTTATTTTATATATAGCCAAAGATCGCCATAGAAGCGCCTATGACCAACCCTATATTCTCTACACCAATGTTTTTGACTGCCCAAAAGCTGCAAGCAAAATACCCAAAGGAAGACAAAGCTGGCATTTCATTTTGAATGTCACCCTTGGCAAGTAAGCCATAATTTTTAAAATAATTTATCCTAGGCACACAGCAGAAAATCAGTTCAAACTGCAAGTATATTTATACAAGCAATATACTGAAGGCTTGTATAACGATTTAAGATCCTCAACGATGATATTACATTCATCACCATCGAGTCAGCACACTAACTAAACTCTCATGCAAATTTTCTTGTATTGTCAACTGATAACTATAGTTTGACTAAGGACATGGAGCTTACCTTTTGCAGAACGATAACCTGTAGATGAATTAGAAGTAGTGCCATAAGGAACTCCTGAAAAAAGGCTCTATTTTGTTAAAGAGAGTAAACTAGAGACGTGCAGGTCCACAAACCATTTAATAATATTCTTGCCTCACATATGACATAACCCTGCTTACTAGATGATATTTGTCAGATTACCACTATCATGCATTACTAGAAGGTTTTCTAGATAACTTAGTAGAAGATTCCATGAATACTAGAGTAATGAGTATCAACATTCAGTATTCAATTTTTGGTCAATATATCACCATCTAGATCTCCAGCTGATTACTCTTAGGTCTGTAGAATTAAAGTTTTCAGTAGTGGCCAGAAGTTGAAATCTGAAACTTTTATCCATTCACTATGAAACAAATGAAGTTGAAAACATCAACATTCAACATAATCCCATGTAGTTTTTGGGCAACAACATTCAACAACAAGCTGAGCACAATTATTTATCTATTCATCTGAAAGAGGATAATGAAAATCAAATCTATAGATGGCTGGCGGAGCAATTAGCATCAATCGATAAGAGGCAAGCATTCACATACTTGAGTGATAATAACTAGGAAGGACAGAGGCCATAACTACTGAATTAGAACTAGATTAAAGGCTTATCAATGAATTTGTTCAAATTAATCTGACAGGCAAACTTAAAGTGGTTAACTATAGACACTAAAAGTCCCCAAAAAATCTAAATTCTTCCTAAACCACAACATGAAATAGCTAGACGTTGATGAATGTAACAAATTAACTGATAGTCTGGTTACATCAGGACTCACCATCATGGTCGAACACCACCTGCATGGACACAGTTAATTAAGTCAGTAGGGGCTATCCAACATTAAGAAAACTACAAGAACTTCATTTAGTTATCACAGATATAAAGAAATGAGATATTAAATGGAAAGTGGAATATACCGCCACATGGGATGGGAGAAATTTCAAAACATCAATCAGCTGCAAATGAGAACACAAATAAAAAAAAGGTAAGAGGTCGAATCCTAAAGTTATAACAGGAAACACGAAAGAGAAAATTTAGTCTTATAAGAAACACAATTATATGCAACCATAATTACTTGATCAGCCATCGTAAATGCTACAAGAAGCTTCTCTCAATCATCAGACTTAAGTACAATATAAAATGAACATCTAAAGCACAATACCTAAGAATTGACTTACAAGAGAAAGAGATGAAAATATTGTTAAAACCCAGTCCGCGTTTCCATCAGCGTGAGCCAGATGACCATGATTCAACCTTGCTGCAAATTCCCCAATCAAATGTCAATAACTGCGATACTCAAAGGAAAACTTTACATTCTATGTACACATGAGTGGCAATACCTAAAAGCTTATAATAAGCCCTATATATAATGGATGTCCCATCAATAAGCATCACTCTGCCATTTGAAGAAGCAGCAGTACTTGCTACTCTTTCTTCTGACTTAAAAGGATATTTTATCGTCTCTGGCGCAACAACATCTTCACTTTTATAAGAAGTCAACATATTGCCACTAGCTGCATCATTGGAGATTTCAGAGACAGCTGCGTCCAAATTACAGGTGGAACTGCAATAGTACTGAAAATCCACATATGTGAGTATCAACATTAGCAATGTCGATTTTGATTCAGAAAATCTGAATATTAGGCAACGATAAAACACTATCCACTAAATATTACACTAATCAGCACAATAATTCAAATGTAAACACAGCATGAGCAAGAAGAACACAGCTGATAATCTCAGAGTTTGCATCACCTTCGCGGAGCGTGCAAGGGAAGGAGAGATGAGAGAAGAGTTCCGATTACACAAATTTCCAATTCGCCGAGTAAAACAGAGATTCCTCCATAGAAAACGAGAGTGGTGATACAGATGCAGCGTCATGACGTCACTGAAAGTACTGTCATGAAGAAGAAGAGCGTTTAACCTGAGCGGAAACACATTCACCATGAATGAAAGTAACAGAATCAAAACCAAAATCGAAGAATCGAGAATCCGAAGAAAGGATTGTGGAAGAACATTCCAAAAATGAGAAAGGGTGAAGAAGAAGAAGGATTTTAGGATTTTACCGCTTTTCTGTGTCTCCGTGTCTTCCTCGAACAAAAATCTCTGCCTCCCAAAAATTTAGCAGTGTTGAATCTAGAAGACTCCAAAATGGGCCCAGAATTAATTAGCCCATATAAATAAAGGCCTTAAGAGCCCATTATATAGGCTTTTGAGTTTTGAGTGTTCTTCATCTTCTATTACAACAAAAACCCTTGGACAGAAGAGAAAACCCTAGAAACGACGATCAAAGATGACGCAGAAGAGCAACCAGTTCAAGGGCCAACAAAAGAGGAAGACTATTGCTCCAAATCGCCATGGAAAATCCATTCAAACTCGCAAAGGTATTCACTTCTTTTTTTTTTGCTTACAAATGAATCCCTTTCGATTTTGATTTTTCAGATTATTTATTACTTGCTTATCATCTTCTTCTTCTTATTCCAGGGAAGAGAAATGTGAAACCATCAAAGATGACGAAAGAGATGGACACTGATCGGGTAATTTCATTATTCTTCAATCTCCTCCCTTAATTCTGAATCGATTGGATTTGTAAGTGAAACAGTTTTTGGTTATTGATTGTGTGTGGTGTGAACTGGGCAGGAGCTTACGAAATTCATAAACCATTGCAATGAAGTGAAAGCAACTAATGCAGCTTGCAAAGTAGGTGGTCAACTTAATATCATCAAACCTGAATCTCAAGCTGAGCCTTCCAAGAAATCTGCCAAATAGACAACAAATCTGTCGCTTTTTTTTTTTTGTTTTGTTTCCAGTGTTTCAACTTCTGTTGTTCTTACACAATCCAATCGGTTTTGTCTTTAAATCATCATTTATAATGCTATTGTTACCAATTTTGCACTTACAGACAAAAGACAAGTTTCTTGCGACTTTACGAGAGATTGAACCTCCATACACTTATGCATTTACCATTGTGAGCCGTTACTATCTTTTTCATCCCCATTGCTATGCAACTGATTTGGGGCCGAACTTTCCTTTCGATTTTATCCATCTCCATATCTTGAGAAACTCTTTTTCCTCTTCTTTTCTCTATCACCACTTGGTTGTCCCTTCTCAATGTTGTTGAGACCTTATCCTCCATTATAAATCTAGATAAAACTCTTCCACTATTCTGATCAATCACTCGCAGCACACCGTCTATTCCACCAGCTACCATTACCGATGTGTCATTCCTCAGCTGTTGTATTGAGTACACGACATTAGGACTCACTCGTTTTTCCCACAACCGTCCCATTTTCCTGTGATAAAAACTTGGTTATACACACATCTCAAAATAGTGTTTTCATAAAACCCAGTTTAAAACTTGCGCCGCTGAAACAAACCCAGTTGTTTCTTTTTAACATACCTAAGGTCCCAGCATGAAACATATCCACCCGTTGTTCCAGTGAACGCGAGATTAGTGCCTTGGTTAAAACAGATGGTCTGTATACCTGTGGAGAAGAGAGGTTGCTTAAGGCATTTTCACTGGAGATGCAATCTGAAATGGAGTTTGAGCTTACCTCCAGCAGTTATTGTGGATTTAAGAGTAGCCACTGGTTGATCCAACAAAGGGTCAGATACTGTTACTCTCCCTAGTGAGGACCCACTAAGAAATACTTGGTTCTCACTCAAAGATAAGCACGTAATTGGCCCACCCTGAGTCCTGCAGTTAGATAGTTGACAGCATTAGCCAATTTGATAGGTAATTTGTGAATCAGCTTCTCATATGAAATTGTAAACAATAATCAACACAACAACCAATATGTTCAAATTTCACTTTCAGATGTTCCACAACATAATAAGACAGAATATATAGCCTACCTAATGATCTGTGAACATGTCTTACTGTACATATCAAATACACGAGCTGTTCCATCCTCACATCCAACTACAGCTTCTGGGTCGATGTAACTGGTTGATAAAGAAAACATAAACCCTTATCAGTGTGGATAGAGAAGCCAAGCTTACAGGGGCTAGGTAGCCACGTTGAAGTATCACACGGACTATTGTCAGTAACATGGAATATCAGTTGCTCCTTCATAGAAACAGATGAGTTCTCAAGAACTTGATATTTTCAGGAGTATCGTTAGACATACCGCATACAAAGGCCTTTAGGAAAGGTGCCTTCACGAGATGGAAAAATGCTTCTTTGTCCATTTCTCCTCCATATGCTAATGCGGGTACCAACCAAGCCAACAATCTCAACAACAACAACAACAACAAAAAAAATCAAAGTTAGGGATAATGCCCTTGCTCGAGATACAACTTCCAATTTATATATAAAATAGCAAGATTTAGCCAAAAGGAAACATCTAGTACAAGGTGAGGCAAACTGTGACATGAAAACAGATTATACTGCTATACTGGTGGTTTCAGAAATCCATATCAGTGACTCGACTGAGGTTTCTATATAATCATTGATCATTAAATTTTAACTCATTCCCAAGTAATGAACATTTTTTTTATTATGTAACTTAAACATCCATGACCTTTAGAAGGTTTACCTTACTCTCATCAAAATCGAAGTCAATCAAGGAAGCAGCATCAGGAAGTGAGTATTCTTCCATGCATTTGTAGCTTTTTAATGACCAGAGACGCATAACCTGATAAAATTAGTCAGCTTAACTTTTAGATAACACATAGAGAACAATACCTAATCGAATAGTATACTAAAAAATCCAAACCTTATCACCAACACCAGTAAGAAGCAAACCTTTCTTCATTCGACACTGAGAAACCCTGACATAGAGAACATTATAAACATGGCAGAGTAGGTAAAATCTCTGGAAAACCCAATTGGGAAAATTGCCTCACCGGTTCGAATGAGCTTCCCATCGCTCAATTTCGATTCGACCCCTTAACAATGCCATCTTGTGATGCTTCATCGCAAAATCCTCCACATCTATCTCAGCTGGGCCATCAAGTGACGTGGAACTACTGGGGAAATCGGAACCGAGATGGTGCATCTTCCGGCATGAAGCTTGTAGCAGCTTCAGCTTTTTGATGACAGCATGCCTCAATAAGAGAAAAAGTTCGAATAGGGTCAACACGGGATTCGAAACCATGAATTAGGGGAAAAAGAGAAGCTAGGGATTTGGATTGGAGGGAGTACCAGGAATTGCAGACGACGGTACAGTGAACGAGGTCAAACAAATCGAGAAAAGAGAAGATGATACATAGTATATCGGCGTCTAGAGATTCGATCGATGGTGATATTCTACGTCGCGTCTTTCTCCCCGACGATTCGTCGCCGGTCTCTGTTATCCCCATTTTTTTTTTTCCAAGCAGACAGAAATGTTTGTTTTTGAAAAATAATATGAAAATTGATCCAAGAAAATAAATAATATTCAAAATATCAGAAATGTTTGTTTTTGATTAGTTAGTTAATTATTAAATCCTTTTTTTTTTGTAAGTTTTGCAAATTTTCCTAGAACATTACAATTGAATTTTTAGCTAGAATGTGATAATTACATAAATATGAAAAATAGTGTGTGTTTGGTGTTGTTACAAATTTAGTAATCAAGGGGTAAGAGGGAGAGGAGAATTAAGTAAAAACTGTTTAAAGAGAGTAAAAGCAACATTAGGTTTGTAAAGAGGAACTTCATGACCAGCTCCTTTCACTGTGGCATACCTAAAATTGCCTTTGTATTCCTCTGTGAAACCACCCACCTGCCCTTCGCTAAACCACGGAAGCCAGTCCGTAACAGCTGTTAGATTCATCATCTTCAGAGCGTACATTGTAACCGTTATCGAAATCACGGTATCTGTGTCTCCAGTGTACACCCAAACTCGCAGTTGCTCATGTTTCATCAGCTCTTTGAGAATAGGTAGCATCGATGCAGATGCATCGGTCTGACTCCAATTAAATCCGAGGTCTTCATTACATAGCTTCCACGTGTATGGCACTTTTGTGACGTGCATCGAACGCTGAACCTCGCCCTGGTTAAAGTAAGCATCTATGTGCTGCATTCCGCACGCATCATATTGCATCACCGTTGTGCATTCTTTGGATTGGTTATTCGACGTGGGGTTTAGGCACGTAGGAGTTAATATGTTGTATAGGTTTATTTTTCCTATGTCGTCCTGGATTTTCATACTCAACTCGACGCAATCAACCTCACCAGTTGGAGGGTTATGGGCGCAGTTTTTCTCGAAGCTAAGGAATGTTTCTTGTGAGAGTAAAGCATGGCTTACCAAAAACTCGTTTGCACCCATTAGTTCGGCGGTGTCGTCCAGACTCGGGTTACCAATCAAAATGCCACGTAGGTTGATGAAGGTTTGGTTCTTGTTATGGACAAGGATGGTTTGTGCGAGTTGTGGAACATAGTGCCCGGCGTAACTCTCACCAGCGATGTAAAATTCTCTTCCTTTGTATTCCGGAAACCTCTCCAGCCATTTCACCAAGAAGATGTAGTTATCAGCTGCTGTATTCATGTCCCCGGGATTCTCCAAATCCGTCGTTGTGTTCGTATACGAGAATCCCGTTCCTGCTGGAGATTCTAAAAATAATATGTTCGCCACTGCAAATATTCCACACATGAATAATAAGATATTTGTATACTCGCTTTTAGCTAAAAATCTTATATATATAGAAACTGCAGAAGTACTATCCAAAAAAAGAAGGTAAACTAAAGATTCTATAAGAAGAAGTTTTGTACATTTGTTCCATGAATAAGGATTGGTATAGAGTGTTTTGCCGTCGCTATGTGTGCGGAATGGGCCAAGTTCTTGAAATGCCCCATATAGGGAGGAGCAGCCAGGTCCTGCATATTTTAAAAATAATTATAATAAGCGTATGAATGTTTATGTCTTGTGTCTGATTTCTCAATGAAAAACAACACATTTTTAGAACTAGATGGTAGATTCATACCTCCGTTTAGCCATAGAACAAGGGGTGACGACTTTTTGTTTTCGGTGGCTTCCACGAAATAATAGTACAAGGATCGACCTGCTGACTCATTCACGGTCACATAACCGCCATATTGTCTAAAACTAACTGAAGGTTGTCCAGGCAGATTCTCGATTAGATCTCTCTCCCTTTGCTCTTGTTGGTTAACACCGCTTGTGTTTAGGGGCGAAGACACGCTTAAGCGACGAATCACATTTAAGTGGTTTGTGTCAACCGACGAACCAATCCCTCGCTTCGAGCGGTTCAGACGGCTTAGAACATGTGTTTGGCTTGTGCAACGGATTTGTAATGCTTGAAATAAGAAAAGGAAGAGACAAGTGGTTACAGACCAATCTTGTAGTTTTCCCATTCTATTATGTGTAATTGGATCTTTATGAAAGAAAGCAGAATGACTGGATTTTATGGATACATTTTTGGTTATTGACAACTATTTTAATCACTCATTTAACCTTTTGTAACAACTTAACAATTAATTTCCCTCTGTAACTACTCCAAACCAGCTTAGCTTTTTTTTTCCAATTTTTGTAACCCTTAAACTAAAACAAAAAGTTTTCAGAAAATTTGTTTTCTAAAATTTGGCAAAACAGAATTCTCTTTTTTCTAACTAGTTCTTCTTATTTAAGAAAATAAAAACTGAAAACTCTTTATTTTAGACTTCCGTCATGAATAAGACCAGACAACATGACCTTGTATTACCGTAAGACACGAATGATAAAATTCAATACATGTCAACAAAAAGGGTGACCAAATTTACAGATCTCACACGAAACTTTGGAAAAATCTGTATTGATGATAATGCCACTTATTTGGAGAAAAAATAAAATAAATATTAAGAGATTGCGGTAAGCCGGTAACATGAAAGCTATATTGGTGCTTAGCTAAGGTTTATGTAATAATTAATCATGAATTTATTATTGATTATTAATACACCGACCCTTCTTTTTTTGTTTGGAATAAAACTACATGAACTTTTATGGGGCCTCTCCCTCGTCCTCTCTGGACCCTCTGATTATCTGACCACTGACCAGACAACAAGACCTTGTATTACCGCAAGACACGAATGTTGATGCAGATTCAATACATATCAACAAAAAGAGTGACCCAATTTACAGAACTTAAATGAAACTTTAGTACTCCCTCCGTTTCGTTTTACTTGTCGTTTTAAAGTCAAAATTTTGTTTCATAATAGTTGTCGTTTTAGGTTTTCGATGCAAATGTTTTGTGAAAATTCTAGTTTTATCCCTACTGTTTTAATGTTTCGGCTATGAATTTTTTTATAAAATATATTAATAAAGGGTAAACAAAAAAATTTAATGCTTTTCTTAATTTGTGAGGTTACCTTAAACGACAACTAAAACGAAACGGAGAGAGTAAAATTTATATTGACGATAATGCCAGTAGTTTTGAGAAGAAATTAAAAAAATAAAAAAAAAAATAAGCTAAGCTTGCTAGGAATTCAGATTATTGACTTAGCGAAGTTTTATGTAAATAACTAATCATGAATTTATTATTAATCTTATTAACTTCGAATGGTGATCAGTAAAACAACAGGAATGTAGGGAAAACAAATTAAAGCAACGAATTGAATATAGAAGTTAATTTTGGAAGAGAAACAATGCATTTTTGTTATTGAGAATTGTGTATGTAATGTGGCTACTGCTGTATTAGTCTTCTGCTTGATAATTTCGACATTTTTTTTGCTTGACAATGATTAACTTAAGTATAATTTGTTGACTGTAGTATCACACACGCATATCATATCATACGTATGTCCATTTAGAACTTAATCAATGATTAGACGTACAACGTAAACAACATTGTTAAAGGAGTCAAATATTGGTTTAATTACACATCATAATCAACTTTAGATCATTCAATCACTGGACAAAGTGTCTTATTAAAGTTTATAGGGGTGGTACAAGTTACAAATCAGGGTGTTTGAGGGAGAGGAGTATTACGGATAAAGCTGGTAAAAATATTAAGAGCATGTATAGGTTGGTCCGTAGGAACACTATGACCTGCTCCTTTCACAGTTACAAAGGTTAAGTTCCCTTTGTAATCCTCTGCGAACCCTCCCAGCTGTCCTCCGGTAAACCACGGACGCCATTCCTTTACAACCGTCAGATTCATTGTCTTCAGCACGGCCACTGTAGATGGAAATGGAATCTCCAGGTCCACGTCTCCATTGTGGATCATGACTCGAACACCCTCACCCATAAGCTCGTGAAGGATAGGTGTCATTGAGACATCTTTAACATCAGTGCTCCATACCTCACTCAATGCGTCATGGCAAGAGGTCCACTCGTACGGTAATTTTGTGGTGTTGGCATGTATCGCTTTTTGAACCTTTTTTCTGTTAAGATAAGCCTTCATGTAGTCGCCACTGCACGGATCAACCTCCATTACTGTGGTGCATTTCTTGGATTTGCTTCTCAACGTGGAGTTTAGGCACACAGGAGCGTATATGTTGTAAGTGTCCAAGTGCGTTTTTGTATAGACGAATTTTTGTGTCAGCAATGTGCACTTGTCATTATCATATAAGTCCTCGCTCATGCAGAATTTGTTATAATTGTCCATTTGTTGTTGGGACATCAAACCATGACTTAACATAAATTTGTAGGTGAATCGCTCCTGGATCAGTGCGGCGAGTGATGGATTACCGATCAAAATGCCTTGTAGGTTGATGAAGGTTTGCTTGTTACGGTGAAGGATGATCTGGGCAAGTTGGGGAACATAGTGGCCGGCGTAACTCTGACCGGCTATGTAAATCTCTCTTCCTTTATATTCCGGAAATCTTTCAAGCCAATTCACCAAGAACATGTAGTTATCCTCTGCTGTTACCTTGTCCCCTTGGTTCCCGAATTCCTCCAAATCAATTGGAGTATTCGAGTACGAGAATCCTGTCGTTACCGGCGATTCTAAGAACAACACGTTTGCCTCTGCAATTCCATACGTAACCGCATACTTAATTGATCTCATCATCATATCTTGTGAATATACTTAATTAATATTGTATTTTTAGAAAGGTACCGTTGTTCCATGAATAAGGATTGCGGAAAAGCGTTTTGCCGTCGCTATGTACACGGAATGGACCAAGCTCTAGAAATGCCCCACCTAGAGATGAGCAGGCCGGTCCTGTATATTTATAAAAAGTTTGTTCATAGATGGTAGAAGACTTATATATCTTTTCAAGTTTTAGAAGCGTCCAACAAAAAAAGAGTTTGTAGATGGAATCTATATTCTCTATGCGTACCTCCGTTGAACCAGATCACAAGAGGAGTGGATTTATTGGGGTTGATGGCTTCCACGAAATAATAGTACAAAAACCTACCGGTTGTTTCGTTTACAGCCACATAACCGCCATACTGTCTGAAACTAACGCCGGAAGGTTGTCCGGGGAGCTTCTTGATTAGATCTTTCTCCTTTGGCGAAAGCACACGACGAAGCACATTGAAGCTCGTATCACCTGACGAACCATCTCCTTGCTTCGACCGCTCCAAACGGTTTGAAAAATGTGTTTGGCTCCTACAATGGATTTGTGATGCCAAAGACAAGAATAGAAAAACACAAGCAGTCACGGACCAATCTTGTCGTTTTCCCATTCTAGTATCTTGGAATCCTATGAGAATTAGGAGTAGGATTTGAAAAGAAATGGAGACGAATGGTTTGTAAAATGAATGGCAGCATTTTATAGGTATTTTTTTGGCTTTTGACAACTATTTCAATAACCCATTTAACCTTTTGTAACAACTTAACAACAAATCCCAGAACATAATAACTACCTGTCCTCCGTAGATAAAGCATAAAAGTACTTTGTTTTTATCAAAAATTGCATGCACATTTTTATTTTTTTAGCAGCCATTGCATGGCACATTTATAACTCAGTTATCTGAATAAAGAACATTTAATTTTAGTTAATTATAAAAAAAATAAAGTTAATCTATACCACTATATTTTTGAGGTCTAACTGTAACCAATTTAAAAATCAAATGAAACTAATATTTTTATGTAAATAATGATAAAGTTGCCTAGTTCCGATAAAAAAAAGTATCGAATTTTTTTGCCCAAGCATCCGTGGTCTAGTGGCAGAGGAAGCTTTGGGAAAGGGTGAAACTCCCAAACCTGAGTTCGATTCTCCCTGGAAACAAAAACACATTTGTTTGGGAAGTCTGTCAGTTGGGCCTTGGCCCAATTGGTTTACCTGGTAGCCAGAAATGCAGGCGGCCTGACTACCCCTGGCACTTAGTCGGAAGGCATTCCAAACTCGGGATAGGTAGAGTGGTAGCCCGTAAGGGCCTAACCGTTAACACGGTGGACCAGTCCACTATGTAGCACTTTGGTGCGTTCCTACCGGGGCCGACCGGATAGCCGATAGGGTTTATCAAAAAAAAAAAGCATCGAATTTCTTCCAATTCCTCTTGAGTGTCGAAAACCGTACGGTTATTCTCAAATCTCAGACAGTTCCAGCTCAATATTCTCCTGATTTAGCCTGTTACTTCAAGAGATCCACCGTCATTTTCTTCGTGTGTAATAGCAATAGAGGATTTTACTATTTGAGACGTAATAATGCTTCAAAGAAAATGGGAGAAAGTAGAACAAAGTGTATTTAGGTTTCTTGACATTAAACACATTAAACATACGAATGCTTCAAACTGAATTCGAATCCAAACTTAAATCTGTTTTGGAACACAATAAACCCAAATAAACATACGGAAGCAAACTAAAAATCAGTTGCCACAACCAAATTGATCCTATGAAGATTGAGAACATCAACTTAAGGAATGAGATTAATGACATTTTATGTGTCAACACTCGTCTTACATTTTACCAGAGATAAGCAACCGGATCTAACTAGAGACATAATGACATAACTTTGGCCTATTGAGAGAATACCAAGGAAGTGGGAATATTTAACTGTTAGCTTCGAATGGTGATCAGTAAAACAACAGGAATGAAGGGAAACCAAATGAATAAAAAAGAACTGAATAAATTTTAACAAGTTATTTTTGGCTACTGCATTTTTGGGATTGAGAATTGTGTATGTAATGTGGCTACTGCTGTATTAATCTTATACTTGATAATTTCGAAATTTTGTTTGCTTGACAATAATTAACTTAAGTATAATTTGTTGAGTGTTGTATCACAGACGCATATCATATTATACGTATGTCCATTTAGAACTTAATCGCTGATTAGCCGTACAACGTAAACAACATTGTAAAACACATCATAATTATATTTAGATCATTCAATCACTGGACCAAAGTGTCTTATTAAGAGCTGTTACAAATCAGGGTGTTTGAGGGAGAGGAGTATTACGGATAAAGCTGGTAAAAATATTAAGAGCATGTATAGGTTGGTCCGTAGGAACACTATGACCTGATCCTTTCACAGTTACAAAGGTTAAGTTCCCTTTGTAATCCTCTGTGAACCCTCCCAGCTGTCCTCCGGTAAACCACGGACGCCATTCCTTTACAACCGTCAGATTCATCGACTTCAGCACGGCCACTACCGATGTAAATGGAATCACCAGGTCCACGTCTCCATTGTACAGCATGACTCGGACACCCTCACCCATCAGCTCTTGAAGGATAGGTGTCAATGAGACATATTTATCATTTTTGTTCCATTCCCAACCTAGTTTCTTATTGCAAGAGGTCCACTCATACGGTAATTTCGTGGTGTTGGCATGTATTGCTTCTTGAACCTCTTTCGTGTTAAGATAAGCCTTCAAATAGTTGCCACTGCACGGATCAACCTCCATTATTGTGGTGCAGTTCTTGGGTTCGCTGCTCAATGTGGAGTTTAGGCACACTGGAGCGTATATGTTGTAAATGTCCAAGCGTGTTTTTTGATCTTCTATCTTTTGGGACGCCAATTTGCACTTGTCCCAATCATATAAGTCGTAGGTACAGAATTTGTTATAATTGTCCATTTGTTGTTGGGATATCAAACCATGACTAAACATAAATTTGTTGCCGAATTCTTCTTGGATCTCCCTGTTAAGTGATGGATTACCAATCAAAATGCCTCGTAGGTTGATGAAAGTTTGCTTGTTACGGTGAATGATAATCTGGGCAAGTTGGGGAACATAGTGGCCGGCGTAACTCTGACCGGTAATGTAAATTTCTCTTCCTTTATATTCCGGAAACCTTTCAAGCCAATTCACCAAGAACATGTAGTTATCCTCTGCTGTTGGCTTGTCCCCTTGTTTCCCATATATTGGACTATTCGAGTACGAGAATCCCGTCCCTACCGGCGTTTCTAAGAACAACACGTTCGCCTCTGCAATTCCATTGTAATAGTATACTTAGTTGATCTCAATATATCTTGTGAATATACCTTATTGGTTTCTAATTAATATATTTTTTAGAAAGGTACCGTTGTTCCATGAATAAGGATTGCGGAACAGCGTTTTGCCATCGCTATGTACGCGGAATGGACCAAGCTCTTTAAATGCCCCACCTAGAGATGAGCAGGCCGGTCCTGTATTTTGAAAGGTTTAATTCTCAACGATTATGGGAAAATATACATCTTCAAAAACTAGATATTGATAGAAAACTTATCTTTTTTCAAGTTTTAGAAGAGTCTAATTATATGTACAAAAAAAATATAAGTAGTCCTTACCAAAAAAAAAATATATATATATATAAGTAGTTCCGAGAAATTGAAAGGAGTTTGTAGAGGGAATATATTTTCTCTATATGTACGTACCTCCGTTGAACCAGATCACAAGAGGAGTAGATTTACTGGGTTTGATGGCTTCCACGAAATAATAGTACAAAAACCTACCGGCTGGTTCGTTTACGGCCACATAACCGCCATACTGTTTGAAAGTAACGTCGGAAGGTTGTCCGGGGAGCTGCTTGATTAGATCTTTCTCCTTTGGCGAAGGCACACTTTCACGACGAATCACATTGAAGTGGCTCGTGTCGCCTGACGAACCAACCCCTCGCTTATGGCTTGGAAAAAGTATTTGGCTCCTACAATGGATTTGTGATGCCAAAGACAAGAATAGGAAAACACAAGCAGTCACGGACCAATCTTGTCGTTGTCCCATTCTAGTATCTTGGAATCCTATGAGAATTAGGAGAAGGATTTGAAAAGAAATGGAGACGAATGGTTTGTAAAATGAATGGCAGCATTTTATAGGTATATTTTTTTGTCTTTTAACAACTATTTTAATAACATAATTTAACCTTTTTGTAACAACTTAACAAATAAATACCAGAACATAATAACTACTTGTTCCTCGTAAATAAAGCATGAAAAATATATATTTTTTAACAAACATGGCATCAACATTTTTTTTTGTTTTAGCAGCAATTGCATGGCACCTTTGTAAATAAATTATTTAAATAAAGACATTAAATTTTATTTAATTATTAAAAATAAAATCAATCTATAACCAATTTATAAATCGAATGAAACTAATACTAGGATCGGACCCGCGGTCCACCGCGGGAGAATATTGGTTTACATACGTTGCGTTTAATATTGTGTGTGTGTTTTTAGTAGAACGAATCGTGTAGTATACTTATAAATATTCATAATAACGAATTGTAGAGAAAATGTAAAATTGTTTATAAATATACCCATCGTATTAATTATGATTTACAAAATAGAATTTTGTGTTTTAAAATTCTAAAATTAGACGATTCATGGGAATTAGAGCAGTCAAAATAGGTTAAAAACCGCGGGTCGAGCCAACATCATCTCACTATGGGGCAGATTTGGGAAAATATATTAAACCCGCAAATAAGCGGGCCACATGGATTAATTCGCAGTGGGTCATAGGTTTAATCGGTTTTCATCCGCAGGTTGGCGGATCAGCCCGCATATTAGTATTTATTGATAAAATTATAACTTATTCAACATGTGGTAATTTAAACAAACTTTTAATAGTATTTTGATTTATTTATTTATTTTAGTAGTATTTTAAATTTTGGTTACTTTAAAATTATTTAAACAAAATTCATGGACAATCCCGCAAATCCGCATACATTCGCGGGACGGATTTGTATTTCATATATGCTACCCGCGGGTCGTGCGGACCGACTAACCACAAGTCAAAATATTTTTTGTCTATCGCAAAACGGACTTAACGGGACGAATCAACTCGCTTTGACAGTTCTAATGGGAATATTATTTAGTCATACAATAAAATGAAGTTTGGACATAGTAATAATAGAATATGTATCTTATTTGTTAGATGAGAGATTGAAAGATTGTTGGTGTCGGATCCCGCACCAGAAGTACGAGACCAACCAAAGATTGCCACGTAATCAGGATAATGGCCCATAAAGGATGAAGCCCATTGGACCCGCGAGCCGAAAGGATGGACGAAGTGGTTGTCACCATTTAGATAACCCGAAGTGACTGCACTATGACGCGAGTTCGGTGTAGAAGACACGGGTAAGTCGGTTCGAAGACATTTGGGCCAGAAGAGGCGAGGCCCGTGAAGATCAGAGTCAACTCAAATTCAAACGTTGAGCATTAAAGCCGAAGAATCAAAACGGACACATTTAAGAAGGAATAATTGTACTTAATTACTCATTTTAAATGTCGTTTAGCTATGTATAAATATAGAGGCCAGTGGCCATGTAAAGGGGGGACCATCTAAAAAAAAGAGAGAAATAATATAGCAATTTTCGTATCAATTTACAAGTTCTTACGTATTCATTTTTGTCCCTCAAGAATAATCTTTCCCATTTAACAAAATACTTGAGTGTGTGAATCCGACTTCCACATTTTGGCGCCGTCTGTGGGGATATCAGGATTCTTGAGTGGGCAGATTTCTTCTTTTCTACATTTCCGAGATAAGCGACAATGTCCGGAGGAGACGCCGTTGAAACATCATTGGCCGAAACCCTCAAAGCTATGCAGCAAACCATGTCGGACATATCACAAAAGTTCTCGGATGTGGAGAAGGCCGTCGATACGTTGCAAACATCCCAGGTATCTCTTAGTCAAAACGTCAATAATATACAAACTCGTGTTCGCTCTTTAAGTGCAGGAAACCCGGTGGGAACC